TTGAGACCAGCCTGACCAATGTGGCGAAACCCCGTCTCTACTAAAAATACAAAAGGTAGCCAGGCATGGTGGCATGTACCTGTAATTCCAGCTACTAGGGAGGCTGAGGCAGGAGAATCACTTGAACTTGGGAGGCAGAGGTTGCAGTGAGCCAAGATCACACCACTGCACTCCAGCCTGGGCAACAGAGCAAGACTCTGTTTCAAAAAAATAAAAAATAAAAACAAAACTGTATTTGGAAGTGATGTCAGTAAAAACAGCAAGCTAGGAACCTTAAAAAATTCCTTTATTCATAAAAACAGCTGGGAAAAATAAAAGCAACTTTTTCAGAACTCTGGAAAATATCCAAAGGCTTTCCGCAATCTTGGGAGCATTTATTCAAGAACGTAGGCTGAATTTTGGTGGGAATAGTGAGCTTTGTAGTGTTCTTACTTTACGCTCATCATATCCTCCCGGCTCCATGGTAGCCTTGAAAACCAACATCCTACAATCTTGTTGAAAAACCAGCTCCTGGGAGCCATAGAAAGGAACAAAAGGGGGTTGGGACTCATTCAAAGCCTTATTCCCAGAGAAACGTCATTATGTGACCTGACTAGGAGGTCCCAGGAAGACCCCACGCACAAGACTATCTTTATTTGGCTTGACTTAGAGCTCCCCCAGCCTTTGTTCATGTCTGTTGAAGACAATCAGAGGCGATTGCTGAACGTAATGGCTACCTGGGGTATAGATAAGTTGAGATACACAATATGCTAACAAAAATGTAAACAAAGGCCAGGCACGGTGGCTCGTGCCTGTAATCCCAGCACTTCGGGAGGCCGAGGCGGGTGGATCATGAGGTCAGGAGATCGAGACCATCCTGGCTAACACAGTGAAACCACGTCTCTACTAAAAAAATTACAAAAAATTAGCTGGACATGGTGGCAGGCACCTGTAGTCCCAGCTACTTGGGAGGCTGAAGCAGGAGAATGGCATACACCTGGGAGGCAGAGCTTGTAGTGAGCTGAGATCACACGACTCCAGCCTGGGTAAGAGTGAGACTCCATCTCAAAAAAAAAAAAAAAAAGTAAAACAAAAGAAAACAAAGAAAAAGACAGATGCTGAGAGTACAAACCTGCTTGCTGTCAGAAGACATTTCTGTTCGTGTCTTCCACCTACAAATTTAATGTCTTTTCCGTCTCAACTAAGTACTTGTCATGCACTGTAGCTGTAACTTTTGCAGCTTTTGACAGCAAAACGGGCACAAGTTTCTTTGTTCTTCTTCACAATTTTACGAGTAGAGGATTTGTCCTTACTGTAAATCTTAGCAACCTCAGACTATAATATTTTTCTTATGATGTCAGAGACGTTCACGTTTTCACTTAAAGGAAGCACACCATGGCTTCTCTCTGGCATACCCAAATCGCCAGGATAGTTACCGCTGCATATTGGGGCAATTATGAAGTGAAATAGGGTTACTTGTGTACCACCCCTGTGATGCCATGACAGTTGGTGTGATCATCAAGATGGCTACTAAGGGTCTAATGAGACATTAATCAAGAATTCTATATGTAGCAAAAATATCCTTCAACATTGGAGGAGAAACATAAGGCATTAAATATCTTAGGACATTTAAGACATTCCTTGGTAAACAAAACTAAAAAAAATTTGTTGCTTGAAAACATCTCTATATGAAATACTAATGGAAGTCATTTAGGCTGAAATGAAAGAATACTAGGTAGTAACTCAAATCCACATGAGGAAATAAAGAGCTGAGAAAGAACTATATGAGTAAATATAAAAGTCAGTATAAGCGTAAAGCACTTCTCATAAATGGGTTGATGAACATAGAGTATATGAAGATATGGTTTATATGACATTAATAGCACGATGGAAGAGAGAGGGAATGGAGCTACATAGGAAAAAGTTTATGTATACTGTCGTAATTAAGTTGGTATTAATATGCACTACATAGTTATAAATCAACATGCTAATTGCAATATCCAGGGCAACCACTAAGAAAACAACTCAAAAATGTAGTAAAAGAAATGACAAGGAAATAAAAATTGTATACTATAAAACTATTTAGCATAAATCTTACTTTATCAATGATTGTATTAAGTGGAAATTTCTCTCCACTTAAAAGGAAGAAATTTACAGAATGAATTAAAGGACATGATCCTACTATATGCTGTCTATAAGAGACATATTTTAGACCAAGACTCAAATAGATTAAAAGTAAAAGTATAGAAAAAGATAAAACAAGCAAACAGTAACCAAAAAACTAACTAGCTAACTAACTAAATAAATAAAGAGATGGAAGCATGATTTAAAAAATCAGAAAAAAAAAGACTTAAAGGCAAAAATTTTTTATTAACAACAAAGGACATTTTATAATAATAAGAGGATCGATCCATCAAAAACATATAACAGAGCCCCAAAGTACGTGAAGAAAAAATTGACAGAATTGAAGGGAGAAACAATTCAGCAATAATAGTTGAGGACTTCAATTCCCCATTTTCGTTAATAGCTAGACAATTGGGCAGAAAATCAATAAGAAAATATAAGACGTGAGTAATACTATAAACCAACTAGATTTAACAGATATCTGTAGCGTTCTCCAACCAACAACAACAGAGTATACAGTCTTTATAAGTGCACATGGAACATTCTCCAGGAAAGACCATATGCTAGGCAATAAAACAACTTTCAATAAATTTTAAAAGATTTAAATCATATGAAGCATGTTCTCAACTGCAATAAAATGAAATTAGAATAGTAAGAGAAGGAAATTTGGGAAGTTCACAAATACATGGAAATGAAACAACGTACTCTTAAATAATCAATTGGTCATAGAAGAAATCCAAGAGAAATCAGAACATATTTTGAGATGAATGAAAACAAAAATTCCACATCTCAAAACTTATGGAATGCAGCTAATGCCGTGCTTAAAGGGAAATTTGTAGGTGTAAATTCTTACATCAGAAAGGAAGAAAGATCTCAATCAATAATTCAACTTTCCACCTAAAGAAACTAGAAAAAGAAGATCAAACTGAAACCAAAGCAAGTAAAGCAAGGATATAATAAATGTTAGAGTGAAAATAAAAAAAATAGCAAGCAGAAAAACAATAGAGAAAATAAACGAAACCAAAGTTATTTGAAAAGATCAACAAAATTGATAGCTTAGCTAGCCTGATCAAGAAAAAAAAGAACTCAAAAATGGGATAAATAACTTAGGTTAGGTAAATAATTAACAACGACAAAAAACCTAAACCCTTAGATAATCTAGTAAAGATTATGAAAAACCAACAGCTAACATTAAAGTTAGTGGTGAAAGTCTTAAATCTTTTCTCCTAAAATGAGGAACAAGACAAGGATACCTGCTTGCTTTTTCTATTCAACATTGTACTGGAGATTCTAGCCAGGATAATTAGACAAAAAACAGAACAAAACCAACCACAAAAAAGAAAACGCATCTAGATTGGAATGGAAAAAGTCAAACCCTATTTTTTGCAGATAAATAATGTTGTATATAGAAAATCTAAAGAACCTACAACAACAACAGCAAACCTGCTGGAGCAACAATTGAGTTCACAAAAGATACAAGATCAATGTGCAAAAAATCAGTTATATTTAGAAACACTAGCAATGAGTCAGCTCAAAATGAAATTAAGAAAGTAATTTTATTTACAATAGCATTAAAAACAAGACTAAAACAAAAATGTAAGACTACACAACATTATTGAAAGTGATTAAGACCTAAATATATGGATACACATTCTGTATTTATGGAATGGAAGACATTACTATTAAGATGACAGTACTCCACAAATTGATCTACATATTCAAGTCAGTTCCTATCAAAATCCTAGCTTCTCTTTTTGCAGAAATTGACTTGCTGATCTAAGATTCATTTGAAAATGCAAGGGACTCTGAATAACCAACACAATCTTTTTTTTTTTTTTTTTTTGAGTCTTGCTTTGTCGCCCAGGCTGAAGTGCAGTGGCCCAATCTCAGCTCACTGCAAGCTCTGCCTCCCGGGTTTACGCCATTCTCCTGCCTCAGCCTCCCAAGTAGCTGGGACCACAGGTACCCGCCACCTCGCCCGGCTAGTTTTTTGTATTTTTAGTAGAGACGGGGTTTCACCGTGTTAGCCAGGATGGTCTCGATCTCCTGACCTCGTGATCCGCCCGCCTCGGCCTCCCAAAGTGCTAGGATTACAGGCTTGAGCCACCGCGCCCGGCCCCTATTTTTTCTTATACTCAAAATTTTAATTGACACATAATAAATTGTACGTATTTATGAGGTACAATGTGATGTTTCAGTACCTTTTACCTTGTGTAATGATCGAATCAGGGTAATTAGCATATCCATTGCCTTAAATATTTACCGTTTCTTTGAAGTAAGAACATTCAAAATCCTCTCTTCTAGCTAGAATATGAGTGTGTTTTAAATGTACAACTCTTTGTTTTCTCACAATCCTATAAAATGAAAGCTTGAGTCAATGAAGTATCCCCCCAAGTCCTATCAACCTTGTCTATTTTAGTGAAATTTAATATTGTCTAGAAAGCACTAGACAAACATAGTTATTCAGAGAGAATAACTGAGCCCTCTGATTATTCTCTCTAATCCGCAAAGGAAGCTGAACACTTGATGTAAACTTCATCAGAGTAAATGAGAAGAATCCCCTCCATTCCATACAAAAGAAAAAATAACTGGAGAGAGAGTCTCTGCTCTGAGGTTATTATCCTGTGGTCTTTGCTTTTGGTACATTCCACCCCACCCCATGCCCTTCTCCTTGTCTTTAATGAGTATCTGTATGTATGACAGAACAGCATGTTTTTCAGTCTCCGCAGTCTTGGGCCAAGCTCGTTCTGTGCCCCACTCTACAAGAATCGCAAGAGCACCAGGATTCTGTTTGGGGTTGCCATGGACACAGAGTTCTTATTACAGAACTGACTTATTCTCAATACGAGGTAAAGACTTAGAGGTGAGGGTCTCTGAGCAAGGGAGTCCCACCCCATCCTCTGCCCTCTCTGTTGGCTCATGTTGTCCTCTCATCCTCATCAGGAGAATTAAAATCATGTAAAGTTTTGGTGGGGGAACTAGACGGTGATCTCTGGGACCCATAGACAGGAAAGTTTGCTTACACCCAGCTGGGGGGAACACTAATTGTCATTCCTTTCCCCTCCCGGGGACCTTACAGAGTCCCCTTATCCTCAGGGTACTGGGGGACAACCAGTGGGTATAGGGCCAAATAGCAATAACCTTGTTACTTGCCAGGAATTGGGTAAAGATTTGATTTAATGAGCTTGATTTTGGGAACTAAAAAATGAAAAAAGGAAAAGCCATCATTCTGAAAGGCAACAGGAGAGAAAACTGCTAACAGGATCTTGATTGAATTTCTCCCTCTTAGAGAATGTTGTACCGAAGACACAAGACCTGAGACTTGTGTTATTCTAGCAGCTGAACTGACCCCAGCGTCCTCTGAGCGGCCGTGGCGCCGGAAGCACTCTGGCCTACAGGTAAGCAGGTCCGGGGCTTACAGGGAGAGGCTCCCAGAAACCCAGCTCTGCCTTGGGTTGTCCTGGTCCACGTCCAAAGATCTGCCTGGGCCACGTCTCTGGAGCACAAGGTGGTAGACTGAGAGCTTCGATATTTCTACTACTACTGCAGATGAGCTGGTATAACCCCGAAGCTATGGAATTTGCTGCTGTCTGTGACCCAGCAAATGGAAATAGAAATAGAAAAATAATTAGATAGAAAAACAATAGAAATAGAAAACATTTAAAAAATAAAACAAACCTCATTCTATGCCTGGTAATGTCCTTAAAAATACGACATTTTAGGCAGTGTAATAATATGCATATACTGGTCACTTTAATCTTTCCTACAGGAGGGGCTGGTTGCCCTAACGGTGAATGCTCTGTTCAAGGAACAGAGCTGGTGTTGAGCTCGGGAAGCCACTCCACAGAGATGGCCACCAAAAGGGCTTCAGCGGTCCCATCTCAATTAACACCTGAAACTTTGCTAGTGAGACCTCAGCACACTCTTAGAGAATTCTGGTTTTTATCAGCAGCAAAAAAATGTGTGCGATCAGTTTCTTAAACTTATTTAAACATTTGAAAAGTTAGAAAATTGTGGCAAAGAGCATTAATTCTTGAGTCTGGGGAGTGTATTACTTTGATGAGAATGTTTGTGTATTTGAAGCTAAAGTATGTATCAGTTTATATTGCCACATACTGACTTTTATGGCATAATATATGGTATAGAGAGCAGGTTGTCTAAAAACCAATATTTGCAATATGCTGAACATTCAGCATGGTTTTATGAAGCCGACAGAGTGGAGTGTATTTTGCATGTGTCGTAACTTGCAGATGAGGAAATAAAGTTGTAGAGAGATTAAATTAGCCAAGCCAGGGGTTTCGGTGCTAGGAAGTCTTGATTTTGTAAAATATAGCCGTATAACTTAAAAAAAATGAATCCAGACAAATAGAAAACAAAATCGTTCTAAACATATAATCTACTTTAAGTTCACAAAATGTCTTAAACATAATTTAGGCTGTGCTTGACTTAACCTACTTGTTTATTTCCTACCAAGGATGAGCAGGAACTAGCCATTGATATCGAAACATTCATTATTCTTACATTTTTTTTCTTTTTTTTGTGTCCTGTCTCTCTCTCTCTCTCTCTCTCTCTCACACACACACACACACACACACACACACACACACACACATGCACTCTCTCAGAAGTACTAGTACTGTACCCTGAAATTGTTTCTTTAGTTCTTGTCAAAATTCCTCTGATTTTATTTTTCATGTCCTGAAATACTGTCGAGATTAACATCCTGATTGCCTTCCAGAATATCTGACTTTATTTTTTGTACGTGCTTTTTACTCTTTGGTAGAGTTATGGATTCATTAACAGATCCTACTGTACGCTCTGACAGCTATGACCACAATGGGTGAGTTGACTGATCTAAGTGGTGAAAAATATGGGGAGCATCAATGGCAATAACAGCTTTCTATAAGAGACTTTAAGCATCTTTGGGTAACATTGTTTTTGAACCAGAGTGGAAAAAATAAGATCCGGTCAGAAGAGGGACACTTGGTACTCAGTCATTAGTAGCCAAAACCCTTAGGAAACTATCAGAATGCCTGTGTATGAGACTCTCTCCAGAGCAATGCAAGAGAGGAGAGAATCCTCCTTGGAGAAAGAAGGTGGTAGCATTGGACAGGCAGCAGAGGAGCCCTCAGCAGAAAGAAAGGAGCTAAGAGACCCTATATCTGTCCCTCACCCTTCAGAGCTGGTACCCCAAACTCAAAGCATCACATTGGATGGGGCCCCTGCCTCAGGTTTAGTCCCTTGATCCTATTTGAGGGGAAGCAAAGATATCTGCAACTCACGAAGAGCATGAAGGTGGTGGAGGGACTTGAGAATTAGGAAATCAAAATGGGCAAGAACAACATGTGCCTACAAATGGAACATGCATTTGAAGCAAATTTAAGTTAAATTTGCTGTCACACACGAAGACCAGGTTCAGTAAGAAAGAATTGTATTTAAATCTTGATTCATTAAACTTTTTTGAGAGTCCTAAACAATTTTTATTACCAACACATAAAGACCTCTTTCTAGAGAAAAATGAAGTACCAGGTACCAAAGAACAGATTTACATGAGAATTTTTAGAGACAACACATTGTGTTTTGTAGCGCAATCATAGCCAATTTGAACCAAAAAAAAAGTAGTGAATGAATTTACGTTGTTTCTTGCTACTTACCTTTCAATCCTTTGCACTAATCCCAGTGAATTGACATCAGAAATCTGTGCTGGAGCCAACAATGAAAGGTGATGTCATAATATATATTGGAGATGGGAAGAATTCAGGTTTGTGAAATTCAGTCTCAGAATTATTCATGGGAAAATAGTTTTCCGGACACTGATTCTAAAATTCTTTCTAAAAAGTTAGGTCTTAAGTAAGGTAACAAATGTTAAATATAGAGTTTCTTGGACACTGTTTCTAAAGTACTGGTAGTTTCAGCTTCTGTATGTAACATCCTTTTCTTTTTGGGTCTAGTCGGATACAAGATAAATAGATCACAAGAAGTCTGCTTCTTCTTCCTAGCTGAGTTGACTAGTCGCCAAAACTTTTAGACACCCGTTGGATTGCCTGTGTATGAGACTCTGCCAGGTTGGGCTATATCAGTTTCTAGGGCTGCTTTAACAAAGTATCACAAACCAAGTGGCTTAAACAAAAATTAATCAGCTCATAGTCCTAGAGGCTAGAAATCTGAAATCGAGGTTGTCAGTAGGTTTGGCTTTTTATGAGGGCTGTAAAGAAGAATCTGTTTGATACCCTCTTTGCTAGCTTTTGCTGGTTGCTGGCAATCTTTGGCATTCCTTCGCAGGTAGACTCATGTCTGGAGTAAATGTAGCTATTTGACCAAAAGTGTAAGTCCAAATTATATTTGTATCTGAATAATATGCTTTTATAATTCCTCAGCCCACAGCCAACTGAGTTGACAGTAGTAACCTATGATAGAGCCACCCATGACATGTGAGTTAAAAAAACAAATATTTATATACATGTAAGTGTATATATACACATATACACATACATACATCTATCAACATACATGCATGCATACACATACACACACAGAAACAAAACGATGAAAGAGAAGTTGGTATTTGTAAAATTCACTGTCAGGGCCGGGCGCGGTGGCTCAAGCCTGTAATCCCAGCACTTTGGGAGGCCGAGGCGGGTGGATCACGAGGTCAGGAGATCGAGACTATCCTGGCTAACATGGTGAAACCCCGTCTCTACTAAAAATACAAAAAACTAGCCGGGCGAGGGGGCAGGCGCCTGTAGTCCCAGCTGCTCGGGAGGCTGAGGCAGGAGAATGGCATAAACCCAGGAGGCGGAGCTTGCAGTGAGCTGAGATCTGGCCACTGCCCTCCAGCCTGGGCGACAGAGCGAGACTCCATCTCAAAAAAAAAAAAAAAAATTCAAATCAGTATCCTGGAATGGAGCTATCGGTGAACTGTGAGACAGAAATCAATCAATATAGATATAAGGATATATGAGCATAGGAGGAAACAATTATATACCATTTACATATACCTATATGCATTCATATTAAATCAAGGCATGCACCCACAGGTACTGCAGAGAAATATACAGGTTGAGATTAGGGAAGGTTCAAGGGCATTAACGGAAAAACAAAAAACTGTTACACGTGTCTACGTGATCTCACTATAGGAAATGAAGGTGCGTTTATGGCTTCTTGAGTGAATTTAGATAAAAGATGACCACATAATAAGAATGATTTTTCTTACTAGTCTGTTTGATACTCTGAGTAACAATCAAAAATAATTTTCAGACTGCCTGTATGTGAGACCTTATTACAATGGCTGAGGACAGCAGAGAATCCTCTTTGGAAACAGAAAAGGATAGCGGGGGACAGAGAGTAGTGAAGACCTCCAGAGAAGAGAAAAAAGCTAACAACCCTAGAAATGCTTTTGATCCTGCAGAACTCTGCTACAATACAGGGTGATACTCCAGACTCCAAACACCATCATATTGGATTGTGTCCTTGACTCAGAACTGCAGTTACCTTACCCTACTTGTGGACCGAGAGAGACGATCAAGTAAAGGAGTAATGGAGGGCCTTCGAGGCAGTACATTTAGTGGAATAAGAGGGCTGACAACCTCCACACAAAAGTTTAGTTTGAAATAACTGCCACCACACAGGATGTCAGGCACTGGGACTGAGGACATAACAAAGAGGTTTATTTTTTTTTTTTTTTTTTTTTTTTTTTGAGACGGAGTCTCGCTCTGTCGCCCAGGCTGGAGTGCAGTGGCCTGATCTCAGCTCACTGCAAGCTCCGCCTCCCGGGTTCACGCCATTCTCCTGCCTCAGCCTCCCGAGTAGCTGGGACTACAGGCGCCCGCCACCTCGCCTGGCTAGTTTTTTGTAGTTTTAGTAGAGACGGGGTTTCACTGTGTTCACCAGGATGGTCTCGATCTCCTGACCTCGTGATCCACCCGTCTCGGCCTCCCAAAGTGCTGGGATTACAGGCTTGAGCCACCGCGCCCGGCCACAAAGAGGTTTATTTAAATCTGGAAGCATTATGATTTTCCCTAGCCTAAGGTGTTGATTGCCATCGTATAAATCCTCCTTTCTAATAAAAAAATGACATTTCAGAACCAAATAGTGCTATACACATGAATAGTCAGAATTTAACTGGTTTATGTGCAGAGTAATGAAAGCGAGTTTTACCGGAAGAGTGAATTTGGAATTGTGTCTCCTGTCTGACTGTGCTCTTTTATCATCCTCCAGTCCACCCACAAATGAATTATCAGGCACGAACCTGGAGGCGCATATCAATGAAAGGTGAGTTATGCACACGTGTGTCTTTATTTATCTAACCATAACTGAGCATAGATGTTTTCACACACACTGGCACATAAACAAATATATTCATGCATCCATCCATGCGTCCATCCATACACACTTCTCTCAACACACATCCACTAAGAACCCATGCACACAATGGAAACACACAACAAGGAGACAGATGGACGGACACTTGTGGAGTTTATTCTGAGAAGCCTGCATGGCCACAGAGAGTGGTTTTTCACAGGGTTTCGAATTCTTCTCGTCATAGCCTTTGTAGGTAACATTGCATCCTTTTCTAATGGAGTCATATAGAAAGGAGCAGGTCACAGGAGAGCTGCTGCTTCCTGTTCGTGTATTTGTCACCCTTAGTTCCTAGTAAGCAGCTTCTTAAAGGACTCAGATTTCCTGAGTGTGAGAGCCTGTGAGATTGACAGAAGGGAGGAGAAAATCCTATTTGTAACATGGAGGAGATGGCAGGTGACAAGGAGCAGTGAAGCCCTTGGCAGAAAAGAATGGAGCGAATGGAACATGGACTTGTCCCTCACACTCCAGAGCTCTGTCAGCACATGAGTTTGGTGCTAAAACACAAACAGAAGCACAGCACCTCATTGGATGCAGCCCTTCCTGAGGCCCACAGCTACTCGCCTGTGTCTCCTGGACAGGAAAGACTAGCATGATGGGTGAAAGGAAAGAGGTAATGGAGAGATCCAGGAAGTGGGCCATAGATGGGATTAGAGGGAGGAATGCCTACACAGTGGAGTTGAATTCAAAAGAAATTCACCCACAAAAGGCTGTCGTGCATTGGCCAGCTCCAGTGGTAGAGAGTTTTGGTGAACTCTTGAGTCAGTGAGTCTTAGATAGGTGTAAAGTATGTGCTGCAATCGTATAAAGTATGATGTGTAGGGTAAATGTCATGGCAGATTCCAAAGAACCAAATACACACATGACTTCTGTAAGGGTAAGGCAGTTTACAGGTTGAAAAGTACTTGGAAGGTTGGGTGCAGTGGCTCACGCCTGTAGTCCTAGCACTTTGGGAGGCCAGGGCGGGTGGATAACAGGATCAGGAGTTCAAGGCCCACCTGGCCAACATGGTGATACCCTGTCTCTACTAAAAATGCAAAATTAGCCGGGCATGGTGGCGGGTGCCTGTAGTCCCTGCTCCTCAGGAGACTGAGGCAGGAGAATTGCTTGAACCTGGGAGACAGAGTTTGCAGTGAGCTGAGATTGCGCCACTGCACTCCAACTTGGGAGACAGAGCGAGACTCTGTCTCAAAAAACAACAACAAAAACAAAAACAAAGCAAAAGCAATTGGAACTATTTTGAACTGAAAACGTTAAGTCTAGGAAGTTACATGTCTTACTATGTACATTTTAGGTTCTTTGGCACTGCCCTAGGTGTGAATTGAGAGTATCTTCTAGTAGGCTGGCCAGTGCAACATTTGATATAAAGGAATACAGTTATACATGTATCTCTGCCTATACAAACACATACATACATGCGTTCATACACACAAGAGAGATTGAGTTGGGCTGTTGACTGTCACAAGCATCCATGGGAACAAGGAGTTCCCTGGAAACTATTTCTAGAGTCCTCTTAGAATGAGCTTTGTATGGAATATTCTTTTGTTTTGTGGATGGAGGTAGGAAAACGGGGAGGAACTCATAGAGGGAGGTTTTTTATGTTAGTGTTTGTCACATTTCCTTTCTGTGAGAATGAGACTGTACTGGTAGCGTGGACCAAGGGAGAAGCGAATCCTGCTTGGAGCGAGAAGGAGATAGGAGTGGAGAAAGATCAGAGAAATGCCAGCAAAAAAAAAAAGAACAGAACTAATAACCTCGGAATTATTTCACACCCTCCAGAGCTCTGCCTTTATGTGAGGCTGACTGCCTTGGCCCATACCCACCCTCACATGGGATGGAGCCCTTGCTTGAGGCCTGCAGCTACTCGGCCGCAACTCTTGGTCTGCAAAGACAACTAGGATGGGTGAAAAGTGAGGAGGTAATTGGAGGTGATAGAGAATGAGGAACTCAGATGCGATTATAAGAAGGGGAAGTTACAAACTAAATTTGAACTGGAATTAAATGCTTTCCAGAAATGCTGTTACACATTGAGGTGTAGATACCCTTAATCTGGATGCATCACTGTGTTCACAGCCTAAGATACTCACTGTTGACATATAAAACCTCATTTCTAATAAAAAACAAATGCCATCCTAGGTCAATTTAGTGATGTACGTATTTGTGAATAATTACAGTGTAACTGGGGAATAGCGCATAGACTAACTGGCTATTTGTTGCAAAACATTAGAATTACGCCTTGTGTCTGACTCTGACCATATCTGTCCTTTAGTCCCGATCCGAATGCCCTGGAGGGAGTCATCATTGATAGAAGTCCCAGTGACAGGTGAGTTATAAGAGATGTACACATGACCAGGTGCAGTGGTTCGCACCTGTAATCTGAGCACTTTGGGAGGCCGGGACAGGCAGATCCCCTGAGGTTAGGTGTTCGAGACCAGGCTGGCAAACGTGGTGAAACCCCGTCCCTACTAAAAGTATATCAACTAGCCAGGTTCTGTGGCAGGTGCCTCTAATCCCAGCTGCTCGGGAGGCTAAGGAAAGAGAATCGCTTGAACTGGGGGAGGTAGAGGTTGCAGTGAGCCGAGAGCATGCCACTGCATTCCAGCCTGGGCAGCAGGAGCGAAACTTGGTCGCAATAAATAAATAAATAAATAAATAAGATGTGTACACACACACACACACACACACAGTGACAGAGACGGAGACTGAGATTAGTGAGATTCCCTCTCAGGAGTGTTCACAATAACACAGTGTGTCTCTGAAACAGTTTCTTTCTTTATCATCTCACTATATCACGTATAGATAACTTCCACGTTTTTACAGTTGTTTAGAAAAAAAGAAACAGACTATAGAGAGAGGCTCTGTGTCTGTTACTGTCCTTTCACCATTTGTTAGTAGCAGTGAAATGCCTTGGACACTCTGATTTTCTGTGTATGAGACATAGCAGAGTGGGCCGAGGGAAGAGAGAATCCTGTTTGGAGCGAGGAGGAGGTAGGAGTGCATGGGGAACTGTGAAGCCCTCAGCAGGAAGCAACAGAGCTAAGAGCCTTGGAGGTGTTCTCCACCCTCCAGAACTCTGCCACCACGGAGGCTGGAGCTCCAAACCTCAAATCACTGTCCCACTGGATTGTGCTTCTGTGTCAGACCTGTAGTTACTTGACTTTTTTTGGGGCTGGGGAGCCACCCATTCTGGGTGAAAGTAAAGAGGTTATGGAGGGCCTTTGAAACAGGACGTTCAATGAAATAAGAGGACTGACAACCTCCACCCAAAAGTTTAGTTTGAAATAACTGCCAAACAAAGGCTGTCACGCATTGGGACTGAGGTCATAATAAAGAGGTTTATTTAAATCTGGAAGCATTGCTATTTTCCCCAGCCCTAGATGTTGGTTGCCATCATATAAATCCTCCTTTCTAATAAAAAAATGACATTTCAGAACCAAATAGTCCTATAAACATGAATAGTAAGAACTTAACTGGTTTATGTGCAGCGTAATGAAAGCGAGTTTTTCCGGAAAAGTGAATTTGGAATTGTGTCTCCTGTCTGACTGTGCTCTTTTATCATCCTCTAGTGCACCCACAAATGAATTATCAGGCACGAACCTGGAGGCGCATATCAATGAAAGGTGAGTTATGCACACGTGTGTCTTTATTTATCTAACCATAACTGAGCATAGATGTTTTCACACACACTGGCACATAAATATATTCATGCATCCATCCATGCGTCCATCCATACACACTTCTCTCAACACACATCCACTAAGAACCCATGCACACAATGGAAACACACAACAAGGAGACAGATGGACGGACACTTGTGGAGTTTATTCTGAGAAGCCTGCATGGCCACAGAGAGTGGTTTTTCACAGGGTTTCGAATTCTTCTCGTCATAGCCTTTGTAGGTAACATTGCATCCTTTTCTAATGGAGTCATATAGAAAGGAGCAGGTCACAGGAGAGCTGCTGCTTCCTGTTCGTGTATTTGTCACCCTTAGTTCCTAGTAAGCAGCTTCTTAAAGGACTCAGATTTCCTGAGTGTGAGAGCCTGTGAGATTGACAGAAGGGAGGAGAAAATCCTATTTGTAACATGGAGGAGATGGCAGGTGACAAGGAGCAGTGAAGCCCTTGGCAGAAAAGAATGGAGCGAATGGAACATGGACTTGTCCCTCACACTCCAGAGCTCTGTCAGCACATGAGTTTGGTGCTAAAACACAAACAGAAGCACAGCACCTCATTGGATGCAGCCCTTCCTGAGGCCCACAGCTACTCGCCTGTGTCTCCTGGACAGGAAAGACTAGCATGATGGGTGAAAGGAAAGAGGTGATGGAGAGATCCAGGAAGTGGGCCATAGATGGGATTAGAGGGAGGAATGCCTACACAGTGGAGTTGAATTCAAAAGAAATTCACCCACAAAAGACTGTCATGCATTGGCCAGCTCCAGTGGTAGAGAGTTTTGGTGAACTCTTGAGTCAGTGAGTCTTAGATAGGTGTAAAGTATGTGCTGTAATCATATAAAGTATGATGTGTAGGGTAAATATCATGGCAGATTCCAAAGAACCAAATACACGCATGACTTCTGTAAGGGTAAGGCAGTTTACAGGTTGAAAAGTACTTGGAAGGTTGGGCGCGGTGGCTCATGCCTGTAGTCCTAGCACTTTGGGAGGCCATGGCGGGTGGATAACAAGATCCGTAGTTTAAGGTCAGCCTGGCCAAGGTGGTGATACCCTGTCTCTACTAAAAATACAAAATTAGCCAGGCGTGGTGGTGGCCGCCAGTAGTCCCTGCTACTTAGGAGGCTGAGGCAGGAGAATTGCTTGAACCTGGGAGGCAGAGGTTGCAGTGAGCTGAGATCGTGGCACTACACTCCAGCTTCGGTGACAGAGTGAGATTCCGTCTCGAAAAACAAACAGCAACAACAACAACAAAGAAAAACCAAACAAACAAGAAGAAAAAACAAAAACAATTGGAACTATTTTGAACTGAAGACGTTACGTCTAAGAAGTTACATGTTGTCTTACTATGTACATTTTAAGTTCTTTGGCACTGCCCTGTGTGTGAATTGAGAGTATCTTCTAGTAGGCTGCCCAGTACAACATGTGATATAAAGGAATACAGTTATACATGTATCTCTGCCTATACAAACACATACATACATGCGTTCATACACACAAGAGAGATTGAGTTGGGCTGTTGACTGTCACAAGCATCCATGGGAACAAGGAGTTCCCTGGAAATATTTCTAGAGTCCTCTCAGAATGAGCTTTGTATGGAATATTCTTTTGTTTTGTGGATGGAGGTAGGAAAACGGGGAGGAACTCATAGAGGGAGGCTCTTTATGTTAGTGTTTGTCACATTTCCTTTCTGTGAGAATGAGACTGTACTGGTAGCGTGGACCAAGGGAGAAGCGAATCCTGCTTGGAGCCAGAAGGAGATAGGAGTGGACAAAGATCAGAGAAATGCCAGCCAAAGAAGAGAACAGAGCTAATAACCCTGGAATTATTTCACACCCTCCAGAGCTCTGCCATTATGTGAAGCTGACTGCCTTGGCCCATACCCACCCTCACATGGGATGGAGCCCTTGCTTGAGGCCTGCGGCTACTTGGCCACAACCCTTGGTCAGGAAAGACAACTAGGATGGGTGGAAAGTGAGGAGGTGATTGGAGGTCATAGAGAATCAGGAACTCAGATGCGATTATAAGAAGGGGGACTTACAAACTGAATTTGAACTGGAATTAAATGCTTTCCAGAAATGCTGTTACACATTGAGGTGTAGCTGCCCTTACTTATTCTGGATACATTGCTATGTTCACAGGCTAAGATACTCACTGGTGGCATGTAAAACCTCATTTCTAATAAACAGCAAATGCCATCCCAGGTCAATTTAGTGATGTACATACATGTGAATAATTACAGTGTAACTGGGGAATAGTGTATAGACTAACCGTAGCTGTTTGTTGCAAAACATTAGGATAACGCCTTGTGTCTGACTCTGACCTTATTTGTCCTTTAGTCCCGATCCGGATGCCCTGGCGGAAGTCATCATTGAGAGAAGCCCCAGTGACAGGTGAGTTATTAAAGTTGTACACATGGCCAGGTGCAGTGATTCGCACCTGTAATCTGAGCACTGGAAGGCCGAGGCAGGCAGATACCCTGAGGTCAGGAGTTCAAGACCAGGCTGGCAAACATGGTAAAACCCCGTCTCTACTAAAAGTACAACAACTAGACCGGTGTGGTGGCAGGTGCCTCTAATCCCAGCTACTCGGGAGGCTGAGGCAGGAGAATCACTTGAACGTGGGGAGGTGCAGGGTTGAGTGAGCTGAGACCATGCCACTGCATTCCACCCTGGGCAGCAGGAGCGAAACTTTGTCACAAACACACACACACACACAAACACACACAAACACACAAACTAAAACAGTGACAGAGAAAGGGACTGAGATTAGTGGGATTCACTCTCAGAAGTGTTCACAATAACACAGTGTGTCTCTGAAACAGTTTCTTGATCATCTCACTATATCACGTATAGATAACTTCCACATTTTTACAGTTGTTTAGAAAAAAAGAAACAGACTATGGAGAGAGGCTCTGTGTCTGTTACTGTCTTTTCACCATTCGTTAGTTAGCAGTGAAATGCCTTGGAAACTCTGATTTTCTGTGTATGAGACATAGCAGAGTGGGCCGAGGGAAGAGAGAATCCTGTTTGGAGCGAGGAGGAGGTAGGAGTGCACGGGGAACGGCGAAGCCCTCAGCAGGAAGCAACAGAGCTAAGAGCCTTGGAGGTGTTCTCCACCCTCCAGAACTCTGCCACCACGGAGGCTGGAGCTCCAAACCTCAAATCACCATCCTATTGGTTTGTGCTTCTGTGTCAGACCTGTAGTTACTTGACTTTTTTTGGGGCTGGGGAGCCACCCATTCTGGGTGAAAGTAAGGAGGTTATGGAGGGCCTTTGAAACAGGATGTTCAATGAAATAAGAGGACTGACAACCTCCACCCAAAAGTTTAGTTTGAAATAACTGCCAAACAAAGGCTCTCACGCATTGGGACTGAGGTCATAATAAAGAGGTTTATTTAAATCTGGAAGCATCACTATTTTCACCCCAGTCTAAGATGTCATTGCCATCATATAAATCCTCCTTTTAATAAAAAAATGGCATTTCAGAACCAAATAGCGCTATACACGTGAATAGTAAGAACTTAACTGGTTCATGTGCAGAGTAATGAAAGCGAGTTTTTCCAGAAAAGTGAAATTGGAATTGTGTCTCCTGTCTGACTGTGCTCTTTTATCATCCTCTAGTGCACCCACAAATGAATTATCAGGCACGAACCTGGAGGCGCATATCAATGAAAGGTGAGTTATGCACACGTGTGTCTTTATTTATCTAACCATAACTGAGCATAGACGTTTTCACACACACTGGCACATAAACAAATATATTCATCCATCCATCCATGCGTCCATCCATACACACTTCTCTCAACACACATCCACTAAGAACCCATGCACACAATGGAAACACACAACAAGGAGACAGATGGACGGACACTTGTGGAGTTTATTCTGAGAAGCCTGCATGGCCACAGAGAGTGGTTTTTCACAGGGTTTCGAATTCTTCTCGTTATAGCCTTTGTAGGTAACATTGCATCCTTTTCTAATGGAGTCATATAGAAAGGAGCAGGTCACAGGAGAGCTGCTGCTTCCTGTTCGTGTATTTGTCACCCTTAGTTCCTAGTAAGCAGCTTCTTAAAGGACTCAGATTTCCTGAGTGTGAGAGCCTGTGAGATTGACAGAAGGGAGGAGAAAATCCTATTTGTAACATGGAGGAGATGGCAGCCGACAAGGAGTAGTGAAGCCCTTGGCAGAAAAGAATGGAGCGAATGGAACATGGACTTGTCCCTCACACTCCAGAGCTCTGTCAGCACATGAGTTTGTGCTAAAACACAAACAGAAGCACAGCACCTCATTGGATGCAACCCTTCCTGAGGCCCACAGCTACTCGCCTGTGTCTCCTGGACAGGAAAGACTAGCATGATGGGTGAAAGGAAAGAGGTGATGGAGAGATCCAGGAAGTGGGCCATAGATGGGATTAGGGGGAGGAATGCCTACACAGTGGAGTTGAATTCAAAAGAAATTTCACCCACAAAAGGCTGTCGTGCATTGGCCAGCTCCAGTGGTAGAGAGTTTTGGTGAACTCTTGAGTCAGTGAGTCTTAGATAGGTGTAAAGTATGTGCTGCAATCGTATAAAGTATGATGTGTAGGGTAAATGTCATGGCAGATTCCAAAGAACCAAATACACACATGACTTCTGTAAGGGTAAGCAGTTTACAGGTTGAAAAGTAGTAGGTAGGTCGGGCGCGGTGGCTCGGGCCTGTAGTTCCAGCACTTTGGGAGGCCAGGGCCGGTGGATAATGAGATCAGGAGTTCAAGATCAGCCTGGCCAAGGTGGTGAAACCCCATCTCTATTAAAAATACAAAATTAGCCAGCTTGGTGGTGGCACCAGTAGTCCCTGCTCCTCGGGAGGCTGAGGCAGGAGAATTGCTTGAGCCTGAGAGGCAGAGGTTGCAGTGTGCCTTGATCGTGACACTGCACTCCGGCTTGGGTGACAGAGCGAGACTCTGTCTCAAAAAACAACAACAGCAGCAGCAACAAAACAAAAAACAAAAAGAAAAAACAAAAGCAATTTTAACTATTTTGAACTGAAAACGTTAAGTTTAGGAAGTTACATGTTTTCTTAGTATGTACATTTTAAGTTCTTTGGCACTGCCCAGTGTGTGAATTGAGAGTATCTTCTAGTAGGCTGGCTGGTGCAACATGTGATATAAAGGAATACAGTTATACATGTATCTCTGCATATACAAACACATACATACATGCGTTCATACACACAAGAGAGATTGAGTTGGGCTGTTGACTGTCACAAGCATCCATGGGAACAAGGAGTTCCCTGGAAACTATTTCTAGAGTCCTCTCAGAATGAGCTTTGTATGGAATATTCTTTTGTTTTGTGGATGGAGGTAGGAAAACGGGGAGGAACTCACAGAGGGAGGCTCTTTATGTTAGTGTTTGTCACGTTTCCTTTCTGTGAGAATGAGACTGTACTGGTAGCGTGGACCAAGGGAGAAGCGAATCCTGCTTGGAGCGAGAAGGAGATAGGAGTGGAGAAAGATCACAGAAATCCCACAAAAGAAAAGAACAGAGCTAATAACCCTGGAATTATTTCACACCCTCCAGAGCTCTGCCTTTATGTGAGGCTGACTGCCTTGGCCCATACCCACCCTCACATGGGATGGAGCCCTTGCTTGAGGCCTGCGGCTACTTGGCCACAACCCTTGGTCAGGAAAGACAACTAGGATGGGTGGAAAGTGAGGAGGTGATTGGAGGTGACAGAGAATGAGAAACACAGATGCGATTATAAGAAGGGGGACTTACAAACTGAATTTGAACTGGAGTTAAATGTTCTCCAGAAATGCTGTTAAAACATTGAGGTGTAGATACCGTTACTTAATCTGGATGCATTGCTATGTTCACAGGCTAAGATACTCAGTGTTGGCATGTAAAACCTCATTTCTAATAAACAGCAAATGCCGTCCCGGGTCAATTTAGTGATGTACATACATGTGAATAATTACAGTGTAACTGGGGAATAGCGCATAGACTAACTGTAGCTATTTGTTGCAAAACATTAGGATTATGCCTTGTGTCTGACTCTGACCATATTTGTCCTCTACAGTCCCGATCCGAAAGCCCTGGTGGGAGTCATCATTGAAAGAAGCCCCAGTGACAGGTGAGTTATAAAAGATGTACACATGGCCAGGTGCAGTGGTTCGCACCTGTAATCTGAGCACTTTGGGAGGCCGAGGCAGGCAGATACAGTGAGGTGAGGAGTTCAAGACCAGGCTGGCAAACATAGTGAAACCCCGTCTCTACTAAAATTACAACAACTAGCCAGCTGTGATGGCAGATGCCTCTAATCCCAGCTACTCGGGAGTCTGAGGCAGGAGAATTGCTTGAACATGGGGAGGTGGAGGTTGCAGTGAGCCGAGACCATGCCACTGTGTTCCACTCTGGGCAGCAGGAGAAAAACTTTGTCGCAAAAAAAAGAAAAGAAAGAAAGAAAAAAATGATGTACACACACACAGGCACAAAACAGTGACAGAGTGAGAGACTGAGATTGGTGTGATTCACTCTCAGAAGTGTTCACAGTAATAGTGTCTTTGACACCGTTTCTTGATCATCTCACTGTATCACGTTTAGATAACTTCCACATTTTTACAGTTGTTTAGAGAAAAAGAAACAGACTATGGAGAGAGGCTTCTGTCTGTTACTGTCTTTTCACCATTTGTTAGTAGCAGTGAAATGCCTTGGACACTCTGATTTTCTGTGTATGAGACATAGCAGAGTGGGCCGAGGGAAGAGAGAATCCTGTTTGGAGCGAGGAGGAGGTAGGAGTGCTCGGGGAACGGTGAAGCCCTCAGCAGGAAGCAACAGAGCTAAGAGCCTTGGAGGTGTTCTCCACCCTCCAGAACTCTGCCACCACGGAGGCTGGAGCTCCAAACCTCAAATCACTGTCCTACTGGATTGTGCTTCTGTGTCAGTCCTCTAGTTACCTGACCCTTTTTGTGGGGCAGGAGAAACCACCATGCTGGGTGAAGGTAAGGAGGTATTGGAGGGCCTTTGAAGCAGAACGTTGAATGGAATAAGAGGGCTGACTACCTGCAAACAGGAGTTGAGTTTGAAATAGCTCCCACCACAAAGTCTGTCACACATTGGGACTGAGGTCATAATAAAGAGGTGTACTTAAACTGAGAAGCATTACTATTTTCCCCAGCTTATGATTTTGGTTGTTGTCATATAAATCCTCATTTGTAATAAAGAAAAAAGACATTCCATATTCCAACAGTGCTCTACAAATGAATAGTCAGAAATTAATTGGTTTCTGTCTAGAGTAATGATAGGTAATTTTTCCAAAATACAAATTTAGAATTATGTCTCCTATCTGACTGTATTCTTTTATCATCTGCTAGTACACAGACAAATGAATTTAAAGGAGCAACCAAGGAGACACTTACGATTGAAACGTGAGTAATAAATAGTTAAATAGAGACTCCCATCAGCATAAGTGTACACAGAACTAAACACACACACAGGCACATGAGCAAATCCATCCATCCATCCACCCACCCACCCACACTTCTCTTCAACATGCGTACACAAATTAATCCATGCACATGATGGAAACCTAGAACAAAGAGAAAGGAAACAGACGGACATTTGTGGAATTTACTCTTAGGAGCCTGCATGGCCATATAGATTTTTTTTTTTTTTTTTTAGCAGAGTTTCCAGTTCTTCTCATTGTAGCATTTGTTAGTAACTTTGCATCCTTCTTTGGTGGAGTTGTATAAAGAAGAGCAGGTCACAGGAGAGTTGCTTCCTCCTGTTAGTGTATTTGTCACCCTTAGTTCCTAGTAAGCAGTTTTTTTTATGGGACTCAGATTTCCTGACAGAAATTAATTGGTTTCTGTCTAGAGTAATAAAAGCTAATTTTTCCCAAAAAAGTGAATTTAGAATCATGTCTCCTAGCTGACTGTATTCTTTAATCATCCTCTAGCCCACACAGCAGTGAATGTAAAGGAGCAGGCCTGTTGTCACCTGTCAGTAAAAGGTGAGTTGTCAATCCATAAAGACACACGTATGCATAAGTGTGCTTAGAGCTATACACACACACAAGCACATACACAAACAGATCCATCTGTCTCCATCCATACACACTTCTGTCAACACATTTACGCAAACAAACCCACGCACCTAATGGAAACAGAAAACACGGAGACAGACGGACATTTGTGGAATTTACTCTCAAGAGCGTGCATGGCCATATAGTTTTTTTTTTTTTTTTTTTTAGGAGAGTTTCCAATTCTTCTCATTGTAGCATTTGTTAGTAACTTTGCATCCTTCTTTGGTGGAGTTGTATAAAGAGGAGCAGGTCATAGGAGAGTTGCTTCCTCCTGTTAGTGTATTTGTCACCCTTAGTTCCTAGTAAGCAGTTTTTTTATGGGAGTCAGATTTCCTGACAGAAATTAATTGGTTTCTATCTAGAGTAATAAAAGCTAATTTTTCCAAAAAAGTGAATTTAGAATCATGTCTCCTAGCTGACTGTATTCTTTAATCATCCTCTAGCCCACACAGCAGTGAATGTAAAGGAGCAGGCCTGTTGTCACCTGTCAGTAAAAGGTGAGTTGTCAATCCATAAAGACACACGTATGCATAAGTGTGCTTAGAGCTATACACACACACAAGCACAGACACAAACAGATCCATCTATCTCCATCCATACACACTTCTGTGAACACATTTACACAAACAAACCCACGCACCCAATGGAAACAGAAAACACGGAGACAGACGGACATTTGTGGAATTTACTCTCAAGAGCCTGCATGGCCACACAGTGTTTTTGACAGGGTTTCCAGTTCTTCTCATTGTAGCATTTGTAGGTAACTTTGCATCCTTTTTTGATGGAGTTGTATAAGGAAGTCAGTTCATAGGAGAACTGCTTCTTCCTGTTAGTGTATTTGTCACCCTCAATTTCTGGTAGGCAATTTTTTAAGGGATTCAGGTTTCCTGAGTTTGAGACCCTACCATAGTGTGCCAAGAAAGGAGAGAATCCTATTTGCAACGTGGAGGAGATAGCGGCCAATAAGGAGTAGTGAAACCCTAGGAAAAAAAGAATGGAGCTAATGGAATGTGGACTTGTCCCACACCCTCAAGAGTTCTGTCCACATGTGAGGTTGGTGCCCAGACCCAACCCAAACCCACCACCTCGTTGGATGCCGCTTTCCTTAGGTGCGCGGGTACTTCACTGTGTCTCATGGGCAGGAAAGACTAGCACGATCAGTGAAAGGAAGGAGGTGATGGAGAGTTTTCCCAGTCATGTGAAAACCTCTCCTAGAAATAAATCATAAAGGTGTAAGTAATATGGAGAACCTGATTCAAGTTAATTGTAGTGTAATGCTCAAGAAAATTTGCAAAATGAATGCGATTTTACAGAAGGAATAAAAGGATTGTGTTTAATCAGTGGCTGATTAAGGAAACATCTAGGTGAGAATTCTATAGTTGCTCATTAAGCAATAGTATGTGAGTTTTGTATGTAGTATTGATTTTTAAGCCAATAAATCTTTAAAAGATTTATTAGATATCCTTATTTTATAGGACGTTGGAGGCATGGGCAAATTAAAATGCATTTCTATTATTATTTTTTTTTTTTTGAGACGAATTCTCACTGCTGCCCAGGCTGGAACACAGTGTCACGGTCTCAGTTCACTGCAGCCTCCACTTCACTGCTACCCAAGCTGGAGCACAGTGTCACGATCTCAATTCACTGCAGCCTCCACTTCACTGCTGCCCAGGCTGGAGCACAGTGTCACAGTCTCAGTTCACTGCAGCCTCCACTTCACTGCTACCCAAGCTGGAGCACAGTGTCACGATCTCAATTCACTGCAGCCTCCACTTCACTGCTGCCCAGGCTGGAGCACAGTGTCACGGTCTCAGTTCACTGCAGCCTCCACTTCTCGGGTTCACGTGATCCTCCTGCCTCAGCCTCCTGAGTAGCTGGGACTGCAGTCACGTGCCACCATGCCCGACTAATTTTTTGTATTTTTCGTAGGGGCAGGGTTTCACTATATTGGCCCAGCTGGTCTTGAACTCCTGACCTCGTGATCCGCCCGCCTCAGCCTCCCACAGTGCTGGGATTACAGTCATGAGCCACTGTGCCTGGCTAAAATGTATTTCTAATATGTACATAGGTTTAATTTATATATAGTTTAATTAATCTCTGATTAATTGACCATGATAAATGAGTCTTTGTTAATTGTTGGACTTCACTTACTGGGCTTCTGTGGTAGGATTTGCATACCCTCACTTATATATGTACGTATTTCGTATTTATGGAAAATCTACTTTTGGTACAAAAAATGTATTTGCTAATAGTGTCAAAAAAGAGAAATTCACTCTGTGCCTATGTACCTTTTTGCTCCATCAGCACTGCCTTCAGTGAAATGACAACAGTTACACATGAAGGGACTTTCAACACAATTTGAGGTTTAAGTAAATAAAAAGCTAGATGTAAACATACATATGTAAATACACACGTAGACACACAGAAAAGCATACATGTAGAAAAGAGAGATTCAGATTTGGGAAGTTCATTGGAGCATCCATGACAATACAAAATGTTTTAGACACTGTTTTCTAAAGTCTCATTACTGTAGTATCTGCAGTTACCTTTCTTCGATCTAGTTGGATAAAAGAGGAATAGGTCTTAAGAGGAATGCTTCTTATTCCTATTCCATTGGTCACCCTTATTTAGCAGCACCCTGAAACCTTAGGAAAATATGAGAATGTGTGTATTGTATGACACTCTACCAGAGTGAGCCAAAAGAGGCAGCCGTCCTGTTTGGAGCAAGGAGGAGGTAACAGTGGGCAGGGAGCTGAGGAGCTCTCAACAGAAAAGAACAAAGCTAACAGACCCCAGTCTCTCCGTTTGTTACCAGATGAGGCTACTGCCCCAAAGGTAAACCCACCATCAGATTGTATGGAGGCCCTGCCTTGGGTCTGTAGTTACTTAGCCCTATCTGAGGGGCAGGAAAGACATCCATGATTGGTGAAGAGTTACTTGTGGTATTTGAACGTGAGAAGGCAGAAAATTACAAGGGCAAGCAAGGTGGGTATTTACAAACTGAAGTTGAATTTATGTAAATTTTGCCAGAAATAGTAACTTGGGGATTATGTTTAGGAGTAAAGAAATGTGTATAAACTTGATTCATTAAGTTTTTTTCACAGGCCAAAAAATTTCATTACAAACATCTAAAACTTCATTTCCAGAGAAAAATTAAATACCAGGTTTCAAATAAATAACTGATTAATGTCAATTTTTCAGGGTAACTAGATTATAGATGGTAGAATAATTATTGCTAATTTGTATCAGAAAATTAAGTCTAGGATAACATGTGGAGTCTTGCTATGTGCATTTTTAATCCTTTAGCTACTACTCCATTGAATTAAAAAGAGTAATGTGTGGTAGAGTCATCAATGATGGGTGGAATTTCAAAATGTGGAGAGAAAGAAGAGAGGGATGTATTGAGATTGGTAAAATTCACTCACAAATGAAGTAATACAGAACTGCACTTAAACTGTGATTCATTAGATTGTTTGTTAAGGCCCAAGAGCACCTTTACATATTGTAAGGTTTTCTTCTAGGAAAAAATGATATATTAATAGTAGACTCCAAATCACTCACGTATACATTTTCAGAGTTCAACCAGTTTATAAATGTAGAGCAATAGTATATAACTTCAACCAGAAAAGTATGTCTCTGAAGTCACTTGACCTGACCTGTACATTTTTAATCCTTAGCACTGGCCCGGATAAAATGACATCAGTAGTCTTTCACTACTTTGAGATATCTTTGATATAACTCGCCTTTCAGTGGTGGTGTCATTGAAAACTACTGAGGTTATTAATTTGGGTCACTTCTAAAGGATCTATCTACACACACACACAACACACACATGTATATATGTGTGTGTGTGTATATATACACAGATATATCTTTTAGCTATATATGTAGTATATATAGGTATATAAATATGTATTTGTGTGTATATAGATACACATGTCTCTATATATGTCTATATATTTGCATATTTAAATTGTGTATACATATCTATATATATAGACATATCCTTTAGCACTGACCCAAATTAATAACATCAGTAGTCATATATATATCCTTTTATATATATAAGCATGTGTGTGTATATATGAAGCCATATATGTATATATCTTTAGCCTATATATGTATATGTATACATATATAGTTTATATTTACGTGTGTGTGTGTATGCAGATATATCTTGTTTTATTGTGCTTTATTGCCCCTCAGATATTACTTTTTTATAAACTGAAGGTTTGTAGCAACCCTGCATTGAGCAAGTCTCCTGGTTTTATTTTTCCAACAGCATGTTCTCACTGTGTGTCTCTGTCACATTTTAATAATTCTTGCAATATTCCAAACTTTTTATTATCATATCTGTTATGGTGAACTGTGATCAGTGATCTTTGATGTTACTATTGTAATTGTTTTGGGGCAACATGAACCATGCCCATATTAAGATGACCAGCCTAATTAATGACATGTTGGTTCTGACTGCTCCACTGACTAGCCATTCCCCCATCTCTCTCCTTCTCCGTGGGCCTCCCTATTCCCTGAGACACAACAATATTGAAAGTAGGCCATTTAATAAGCCTACGATGGTCTCTAAGTGTCCTAGTGAAAGGAAGAGTCACATGTCTCTCACTTTAAACCAAAAGCTAGAAATGATTGTGAGGAAGGCTAGACTAGCACCAGTTCAGCCAAGTTGTGAATGTAAAACAAAAAACAAAATGAAAAAGCCAAAAAACTTCTTCAAGAAAATTAAGACTGCTACTCCAGTGAACATACAAATGATGAGAAAGCAAAACAGTCTGATAGCTAATGTGGAGAATGTTTTAGTGGTCTGGATAAAAGATCAAACCAGCCACAGCATTCCCTTAAGCCAAAGCCTAATCCAGGACAAGGCCCTCACTCTCTTTGATTCAATGAAGGCTGGGAGAGGTAAGGAAGCTGCGGAAGAAAAGCTTGAAGCTAAAAGGTTGGTTCATGAGGTTTAAGGAAGTAAACCATCTCCTTAACATAAAAGTACAAGGTAAACAGCAAGTGCCAATGCAGAAGCAGCAGCAAGTTATCCAGAAGATCTAGCTGAGATAATTGATGAAGGTGGCCACACTAACCAACAGATTTTCAATGTAGACAAGATAGCCTTTTATTGGAAGAAGATGCCATCTAGGACTTTTGTATTTAGACAGGAGAAGTGAACGCATGGTTTCAAAGCTTCAAAGCGCAGGCCAGTTCTCTTGTTAGTGGCTAATGAAGCTGGTGGCTTTAAGTTGAAGCCAACAATCGTTGACTATTCTGAAAATCCTAGAGCCCTTACGAATTATGGTAAATCAAGCAAGATGGGTGACTAGAGATGCCTGGTGCTTGTCTCCCCTACAAGAAAGAACCGAGGCAACAAATACACATCTAAGATTTGATTAGAGTATCAAAGGGATAGTCCTAGAGTGCAGCAAAGGAGTGGAGACACACCTGTCATGACTGAAAGTCCCCACAGCATGGAAACACTCAGCCTCTGCAGCCCCTTCTCCCCCATCTGGATTGAATTGGCCCAGAGAGAGGAGGGACGTCTCATTGCAGGGTGAAGGTAAGCAGAAGATCCCCACCAGCCCCACTGCCATCACAAACACAAAGTCTTGACAACAGGAGAATCTCACAGTCTTTGCCAATTTGGAGTACTGCCAAGAATTCACACAGCTGCATGTCCTGGACTAGGAGTACAAGGTGAAGACTTCCCACCCTCAGAGACCTAAGCTGCAGCAACACAGCACCATCTTGAGACCAGAGTCATCTCTTGAGTGTGCCCTCCTCTGGGGGCCAGTAGCCACTGTGCCTCTCCAGCACTGGAGCTTTACCTTCAGTACACCAAGCCCACATGGGTGGGTTAAAGCCACAGTCCCAGCTGTGTGGAGGTTGGTCCCAGGATTGGCTGTAACTCAAGTACTGCAGAGCAGGGAAATCAAGCCCCACCACCACACTTCCAGACAGGATTAATCTGCAGTCCCATCCAAGGTAAACTCACTCTTAAGCCAGCCAAACCACTACCTGCCCTCTCCCAAGTGGGAGAGGCCCCTAAGCCTCTGAGCAGCTGATACACCCCCAGGTCAACAGAGTGACTATGAGCCCATGCTCAGGACCTGAGAAACAGCCCTGCAGGCCCCATCCACCACAGACATGCTCCTGGCCTGCCCAGGAGCCCTCTGCCTTTACTAAGGGCCTGAAAAACAGTCCCACAGGCTGCCCCCAGCAGGCACACCACTGAGTGGGCCTTGCACCTGTGTCTCAGACGTGAGAGACAAGCAACTGTGTATGCCCAAGTCTCAGGGCCAAGAAACAACCCTGGGAGCTTACTCTGGCCAGCATACCCTCAGGCCAGCTAAGCAGCCACATACCTATGTCCCAGGTTGAGGAACATCGTGGGTCATAGCAGCATTCTCCTGGGCTTCCCCTGGCAGGCACCACCCAGGCCACCTGAGCAGCAGTGTGCCCACATCCTGAGCTAGAATAGCCCTATGGACTACCCCCAGCAGATACACATCCAGGACAGTTGAGAAGTCATTTGACTGTATCCCAGGCCAGAGAAACACCCCCTCTTGGGCAGTCCTGGCAAAGATACCTTCAGTCCAGCTTAGCAGCCATGCAGCTATATATTTGGCCTATGAGTTTCCCCCAGCAGACTGGCCCCAGGCCAGATGAGCAGTTGTGTACCCACATACCAGATATGAGAAACAGCCCTTCAGGCCACTCCGGGAGTGCATGCTTCCAGGCCAGGCAAACAGCTGTGTGCCTGCATCCTGGGCCTGAGAAACTGTCCTGCAAGGCACATCTGGCTGGCATGTCTTGGTTGAGCAACTGCATCCCCATGCTTCTGGCTAGAGTGACAGCACCATGGCCAGCCACATAAAGCCATACTCCAAGTTTTCTGATCCACTGTATGCCTGCACACACCCCTACCCTGAGAAACAGCCCAGTGAGCCCACCCTTGGCAAAGCTGCACCACATCACCACAAATTTCCTTAGCCTAGGCCACTGAGTAACTTGCAAATGTTACTAGTGTGGGTCACAGCTGAATTAACTACATGGAGACTACACTTACTGCATCCATGTAAAACCAGGGCCAATATACCCCAATGAACTGACATCCAAGACCCATTCATACAAATAAATTCATACAAGTAAAGCTACTCCATAAAATTGGAAAAGGTGACTTTTACACCAGATGCATAGAAATCAACATAGAAACACACCAACCATGAAATGCAAGCAAACATGTCACCTACAAAGGGAAATAATCATTATCCAGTAATAGACCCCAATCATAAATATATGAAATGACAGAAAAAAGAATAATCTTAAGGAGGCTCAGTGAGATATAAGGTAATACACATAGACCAGTCAATGAAAACAGGATTTGAAAGAGAAATTCAGTAAAGATACATATATCATAAAAAGAACCAACAGAAGCCCTAAGAGCTAAACAGTTCAAGGGATGAAATGAAAAAAATACAATCAATGGCTTTATAGACAAGATCAAGCAGAATAAATGATTTCTGAACTTGAAGACAAGTCCTTTGAAATAACACAGGCAGGCAAAAAAGAATGAAAAAGCCTACAGGATTTATGGGACACCATTACTTTGATCAAATATTCATATTATGGGCATTCCAGAAGGAAAAGTGAAGAGAAGATATGAGGAAAACATATTTAATAAAATAAGAGCATAAAAATTCCTAACTCTTGAAAGAGAGCTAGACATCTAGTTTCAGGAAGATCAAAGAACCCCAAATACATTCAACCCAGACATTATAATCAAATTGTGAAAAATCAAAGACAAAGATTTTTTAAAATAGCAGAGAGAAGTAAGACACTTATAATGGAATCCCCATTAGACTAACAGCTGATTTCTCAGCAGAAACCTTAGGCTAGAAGAGAATGGGATGATATATTTGAAGTTCTGAAAGAAAAAAAAACTTTCAGCCAAGAATACTATACCCAGCACAGCTATCCTTTACAAATGAAGAAGACATAAAATCTGTCATAGATAAACAAAAACAAAGATAATTCATCACTACTAGACCAACCTTACAAGAAATGCCCAAGGGAGTCTTACATCTGGAAGTAAAAAGATGATAACCACTATCATAAAAACATGCAAAACTTTAAGTCACTGTTAGAGTCAATACATAAAGGAGAAAGAAAGGAATGAAACCTTATCACTACAGAAAACTACCCAACTTCAAAAGTAAACAGGAAGAAAGGAACAAAACATACAAAACAACCAGAAAACAATAAAATGTTGGAAGTAACTCCTCACCTACCAATAATAACTTTGAATGTCAATAGATTAAATACACCATGAAGGATATAGACTTGCTGAGTGGATTAAAAAATAAGACCCAACTATATTTTATCTAAAATAAACTCACCTTACCTGTAAAGAAACACATAGACTGAAAATGAAGGGAAGGAAAAAGATATTCCATGCAAATGGAAGCCAAAAGTGAGCAGAAATAGCTATACTTGTATCAGACAAAACAGACTTCAAGTTAAAAACCATAAAAAGTGACAAACAAAATTATTATGTAATAATAAAGGGTTCCATTCAGCAAGAAATATAACAATTATAATATGTGTATAATTGTAAATATGTATGCACTCAAACACCAGAGCACCTAGACATATAAAGTGAATATCTAGATCTAAAGAGGGAGATAGACCCAGTTACAGTAAGAGTTGGGCACTTCAGTATCTCACGCTCAGCATTGGACAAATCATCTTGACAGAAAATCAACAAAGAAACATAGACTTAAACTCCACCATAGACCAAATGGACATAACAAACATTTACAGAACATCCACCTAACAGCTGCAGAATACACATTCTTTTCATCAGCACATGAAACATTATCCAAGATAGACCATATGTTAGGCTACAAAACAAGTCTCAACAAATTTTTAAAAATTGAAATTATTTCAGGTATCTTATCTTACCACAATGGAATAAAACTAGACATTCATAACAAGAGGAACATTCAAAACTATACAGTCATATGGAAATTAAACAACATGCCCTTGAGTTACAATGAGTGAAGAAAGAAATTAAGAATGAAATTTAAAAATTCCTTGAAACAAATGTAACTAGAAACACAACATACCAAAACATAGGGGACACAGCAAAAGCAGTTATTAAGAAGTATGTTTTTAGCAATAAATGCCTAGATCAAAAAAAACTAGAAAACTTTCAAATAAGGTACTGAACAATTCTACCTCAAGAAACTAGAATAGTAAGAACAAACCAAACCCCAAATTATTAAAGGGAAATAAATAATGAAGAACAAACAGAAATAAACAAATTTGAGGCAAAAATTACAAAAGGTTAACAAAAAGCAGGTTTAAAAATATCAACAAACTTAGCTAGACTAAGAAAAAGAGAAGACACAAGTAAATTCAGAAACAAAAAAAGAGACATCATAACAGATATGACAGAAATAAAAAGAATTATTAGAGACTTATGAACAACTCTACAATAAATTTGAAAACCTAGAGGAAGTGGACAAAACCCTTGACGCATACAACCTACCGAGACTAAACCAAGAAGAAATAGAAAACCTGAACAGACCATAAGCAAGTAATGAGATTGAATCAGTAATAAAAAGGCTTTCAAGAAAGTCCAGGACCTGATGGCTTCACCACTTAATTCTCACTTGTGAAAGGAAGAGTCATTTGCTACAGCAAACTTCATTGTTGTCCTATCTTAAGAAATTGCCTCAACCACCCCGACCATTGGCAGCCACCACTCTGATCAATCAGCAGCCATCAACATGGAGGCAACACCCTCCACCAGCAAAAAGACTATGACTTGCTACAGGCTCAGGTTATCATTAGCATTTTTTAACCAATAACGTAGTTTTGAATTAAGGTATGTACATAAGTTTTTGAACATAATGCCATTGCAAACTTAACAGGCTATAGTGTAGGGTAAACATAACTTTCACATGCACAGGGAAACCAAAACATTTGTGTGAGTTGCTTAATGCAGTTTTTGCTTTATTGCAGTGGTCTGGAATGAAACCCACAATGTCTTTGAGATATGTCTATACACATTATTTATATATTATACATCTGTAGACATGTTCTTTTATATATCTTTATATACATATATATAGAAAGAGAGATAGAAAAGAAGACAAAAATATGGAAAATTCAGTGTTGGGAGTATCCATGAGGAAAGAGTTTCTGGTTAATGATTGTAATTTTCTTTCTTAAATATTAGATCTTCCAGTGAGCTGAGTCATGTTTACTATATCCTTTAGATTCATGGGATTCTTGTTATTCAAATATATTTTCCATCACTATTTTGTGTAGCAAATATCTAATGATATATTTTTGCTTTTTTTTTTTTTTTTGGTGGCTAAAGTATGTTAGAACGACTTTCCAAGTTTGAAGTTGAAGATGCTGAAAATGTTGCTTCATATGAGTAAGTCAGTTTGAAGTTTGAAAGGAGGGAGCCATTGGTGGATCTCTTGTCTTTAAACAGGGCTTACGCTGAGGCAAGAAGGAAAAAGGGAAACTATGGAAAGATATCAAAATGTATGGGTGGGAAGGTACACCATATTTACTCCAGTTGAATTCTTAGACAAGTATTATTTTGAAAAAAAAATTCCATCCATTCAGAAATAAATGTTCTTCTAGCTTGAAAATGTAGAAAGTATTCTTAGAAGAAATTAATTCCATTAAAAGTTTAAAAAAAAAAAAACAGGGATGCAGAATGCTACTTAATTCATCACTAGTGAACATTTCTCATTTTTACTGGGTATTGTGTGATTCCCAGTTTTGTAGATTTTGCCTATGAGCAAGTGGTATTGATAGCAAAAGCAAACATGTTTTGCTGACTAACAACCTCTTTATGCTCATTGGGATTTTATTCTTATTTGTTTCTAATCTCACTAGAGTACTTCCTGTTGCACTGACCTGAAGGCATTTTATCATGTACTCACTGTAATGAAACAATACATTCTTAAACCGTCTTGTGTCTGAACTGCAGACATATTCAGGAGATTTTTCTTCTGCTTCTTTCTTGCCCAGTTGTATAACCATTTGCCAGCTTGGGTCAATGCTGGAGAGGAAGTACTGCCATAGAGGAAGTTAACTCGCCATAGTTGTAAGCTGTTGGTGTCTAAACAAAGATTGGAAACAAACAGGGCAAATACAAATGGTTCTTCAAATTACCCTGAATTTGCCACTGAATTAAACTGTGTGTCTGCAAATTAGCTATACATTTTCTGTAATGGAGCTGCCCAGGGCTGAAGCGAAATTAGACAGATTAAGCAAGGCAAGCATTTCCTTCTTTCTCCACTCCAAACAAAATAAAGCAGATTTTCATTTCATTTTATTTTTAAATTACAAAGTCTCATTACATAGATATAGGAGGAATTTGCAGTAGTCCCTGTGAGAAATGCTGGTGTTTCATACCAGGGGGATGATCTTGGATTTATAGTAAAAGCTGGAATCAGTGCTGGGCTTTGACATCATATATTCATTCACCTGATACTCAGCAAGTCACTAAACCTCTTTAACTTTCAGATTATTCAAATGTAAACTGGTTATGATGCTATCTATGTACTGGATATTGTATTGTAAAAAATTAGTAATAAAACTAAAATAACATGCAAAAATACTTTGAAAACTCTGTAGCTCTGTGAATAGGTTTTATTCTAAAAACTGAAAATAATGTAAGAGTTCATTAAAGGAAAATCAGAAAATACAATCAACAAATCTACCCACCTATAGTCATTCTTAAACTTGGATGCATGCACTTCTAAGTTCTTTAAGCATATACTTTTTTTGTTTACAGGTATGAGACCATACTTGTTATTATTCTTTTGTAAATAACCTTATTACTTTATGACATCATGACTATATTTTTTTGTTAATACATATTCATGTGCACTTACAACATTATTTGTAACAGTTGTGTAATATTTCATGGTGTAGATATGCTATAATTCATTTAATAGTCAGATATTGCTGAACAATTAAGTTGTTTTTACAAGTTTTTAAGTGTTACAAAAAATGAATATATTTGAGGCTAAATCTCTGTATATTGTTGGTTATTTGCTTGTTATAAATTCTCAGAAGTGGAAAGTCTGTGTCAAAGGGAATGATTGTGACACTATTGATATTGATATGTGCTTTAACATCAAGATGCAAAGTGTACATTTCTCCCCTCCCACACTTAGCACTAGCCATCATTGATTTATTTGATATTAGTAAATATATTTGTTTTAATGCACATTCTTGACACACCTTCATTTACCCTTTCTAAGTTAATATTTCATCATTTGCAAACTACCTTTGCCCAGTTAAAATTGGAGCGTTTTTCTGTCTTTGGACTGAAAAGTTAAATCTATTGATCTTTTTTCTATTTTATGTAATATAAGTAATTTCTCCCAGGTTGTCTTGCTTTTCACTATATAAAAGTATTTAATCTTCATGTAATCAAATGTATCTGTACTTTTCTTTGTGATTTTGCCTTTAATGTTATTCTCAGAAAGTCCTTCTTACCCCAAAATTTTAAATATATTCACCAAAATTTCTGTTTTGAATTTATTTTCTTCATTTAAATAAAATATCTGTCCTGAATTTACTTTGTCTTAAGGTATAAAGTGTAGAAATTTACTTTTCTTCTAAGTGACTCATAGTTTTCTCAGCATGAAAATGTCATCCCCCTGTATTGTCCTTACCCTGTTTTAGTGATCTAGAGTGAGCAGGAAAACGAGAGTCACTACAGTGTTTTTAGTGCTTTGCATCACGGCCACCTCCCTACCCCCAGAGTCTGTACCAGAGAAAAATGTGTCCAGTGGGAGAGATAGCACCTGCCTCCAATACAAATCCCACTTCATTAAACATGGTCTTGTTAGTGTCATGTAGCTCCCACCTTCTATTGATAAAAAATAAGTCATGTTCATAGTTAGTATTTGTGCTTTTAATTCAACTTTGATATTGATATTGGAACTTTTAGTGTGTTAAGGTTTAGTATCTCATATCTGTTTCTGTCTCTCTCTTTTTTTTTTCCCTGAGCCGGAGTCTTGCTCTGTCACCCGGCTGGAGTGCAGTGGCGCCATCTCAGCTCACTGCAACTTTGGCCTCCCAGGTTCAAGAGATTCTCCTGCCTCAGCCTCTTGAGTAGCTGAGACTACAGGCACGCACCACCACGCCCAGCTAATTTTTTGTATTTTTAGTAGAGACGGAGTTTCACCATGTTGGCCAGGATGGTCTCAATCTCTTGACCTCGCGATCTGCCTGCCTTGGCCACCCAGAGTGCTGGGATTACGGATGTGAGCCACCGTGCCTGGCCTCTGTCTCTTTATTTTTAAATTGTCATTTAAATTTAGTTTTTGTCTCTCGCGTATAGCACGTAATGCCTTTAATTTCAAAGTTATCTGAGAGTATTTCTCAATATGCAATATGAGAGTAATATGTTTGTATTTATGATTTCTGGTATGTTTGGTTTTATTTATCATCTTTTTCTTTATTAAAAATACTTTGATATTTTCTTTTTAAATTGGTCTATATTTTGCTATTGATTTGTTTTTATCCCTTGCATTTTTTATTGATATGCAAGTCAGAAGCCCATTTCCAGTCTATCAATGTTTATATTTAAACATATAGAAAACATAATTATATCATTTTTCTCCATCATTATCAAGAATAAAACTGGACTTATACCTGTGAAAGATAAGAAACACAACCTGCCTTTACTTCTGTCTTCTTCCACACCTTGAATCCTAGTGTAAGAATGCCTAAAAATTCAAATCAATACTATTATTCATGATTTTATATGATTTATCTTTACTTCTAGAATCATTTATTTACATTTTCACCTGCTACATTTTTATGCTACATTAACAATTATTATTTAGACTTACCTAATTCTGAGTTTATATTATTTACCATCTTTTCTCTGTAAGTCATCTTCCTTAATTCCATATTCTTGATGTTGATTCATTGCTCAGCTGACTCAAGCACTCTGAGTAATTGTTTTTAGGAAAGGTACATGGAGGCTGTGCTTTGAGTTGCTGCATGTTGGAGTGTCTGTCTATTGCTCCCGAGTGTGAACAGTACTTTTCCTGGATATGGATTTATTGAGTCAGTTATTTCCCTGCAAACTGCACATAACTGCTTGAAGCTGCATTTACATAATACACTTTTTTTAACCGAAAAAGTCTCAATTGTGTATTTACTTGGTATAGTTTCAGTGGACACTGAAACAGATTAAGGGGCTAAAGCCACCCAAGCCACTCCTTCATGCCTTCGTAATCTGTCAGGCTTGGTTCTGTATGGTGACATTGTCAAGTGAGTTCAGATTTATGACATTTCCTTGATACCCAGAGATCCAGTAGACTGTGTGGGATCAGAGGTTCTTGTAGTAAGAGAATGGCGACTTGAGGAGAGAGTTCACCTCTTTTGGCCAATTGATCCTCCATCTACATCAGCCTTAACTCTCCAAGCCTGGGCGGAGGTGGTGGAGAGGGGAAGATTAGAAGGATTGGGGATTTCCTTTATCTCAGGTTAACCTAACATCATTCAGCAAAGGCCAATTTTTTTTTTTAACTTTTATTTTTAGGTTTGGAGGTACATGAGAGGTTTGTTACATAGGTAAACATATGTCAGGGAGGTTTTTTTTTTTACATATTATTTCATCATCCAGGTATTAAGCTCAGTACCCAAATAATTATCTTCTCTGCTCCTCTCTCTCCTGCTGCCCTCCCCACTTAAGTAGACCCCAGTGTCTATTTCTTTCTTTGTGTTCATAAGTCCTTATGATTTAGCTACCACTGATAGGTGAGAACATTCAGTATCTGGTTTTCTGTTTCTGCACTAGTTTGCTAAGGATGATAGCCTCCAGCTCCATCCATGTTCCCACAAAAGACATGATCTCATTCTTTTTTTATGGCTGCATAGTATTCCGTGGTATATATGTGCCATATTTTCTTTATCCAATCTGTCATTGATGGATACCTAGGTTGATTCCATGTCTTTGCTGTTGTAAATAGTGCTGCAGCGAGCATTCATATTCATGTATCTTTATAGTAGAATGATTTATATTCCTCTGGGTATATACCCAGTAATGGGATTGCTCAGTCAAATAGTAGTTCTGCTTTTAGCTCTTCAAGGTATTGCCATACTGCTCTTTACGATGGTTGAACTAATTTACACTCCCACCAACAATGTATAAGTGTTCCCTTTTCTCTGCAACCTTGCCAGCATCTGTTATTTTTTGACTTTTTAGTAATAGCCATTCTGACTGGTGTGAAATGGTATCTCATTGTGGTTTTGATTTGCATTTCTCTAATCTGTGATATTGAGCTTTTGTTCATATGCTTGTTGGCCACATGTATGTCTTTTGAGAAATGTCTGTTCATGTCAAGGGCCAATTTTGGCAGTGCCCAGTTCTGCTCAGTATCTGCCCTCTTTGTTCTGCAGTCTTAGGCACAGGCTGTGAGCGTTGTCTTAGGATTCATGGCTCTCGGGGTGGAATTTGAGTCCTGTGTTGGAGGCTTCAGTGTGACAGAAACTTCCTGAAGACTTCTCCTGAAGAGCCTCCAACACAGGAGGCTTCAGCAGGACAGAAGAATTGTTCCTCATCAGCTACCTTGTCTCCAGCCATAAGGTAAAATGAGGCATTATTGGAGTCTCCAAACAGGTTCTCCTTCCTTTGATTAATGGAAGGAGCCCAGTCTTTCGGGTGTTTCTCCTTTGAAGTATATCTTACTAAAATGTCTTACCTCTGAAGTTCATTTGCAACCTTAAATGCGACTCTTGCTAATGTGTATCTGTTCACTAGGTGTCTCGTTTGAAGAGATGACAAGAGCATCATTTACTCCCTATGCTCATTCCCAAAATGCCTTATTTTATTGCGGTGGAAACTGAGATCTGGCCAAAGTTTGATGACTTGCCCAGGCCGGCATTAAAATACAGTTCTCTTCTACCACCCTTTTCTGTCTTCATGCTATACTCCTTGAGTTGATGAGCACAAGTTTAAGTTTAGTATTGCCATAAAGTTGGGGTTGGGGCTTTGCATGCAACGGAAATGGTACTAAACATCCAAAGTTTACTGTCTTATTTGCATATATTCTGGATAGCAAAGGAAAATACTTATGGAACAGAAAGAATAAAATTTTAGCTATTAGTAAAAAGCATTTTGTCATACAACTTCTGAATAACTTTCTTTTAAAATTGTATTTATAAAGGCCTTTGTTTTTTGGTTAAATTTACAATATATGTTAGAAGAAATCTGATTAATTTTATTTTTACTTCTTTTTGCAGCACCAAGATTAAGAAAATTGTGCGTTCAATTGTATCATCCTTTGCATTTGGGTATGTGAGACATAGAAAACACCATGTATTAAATATATCTGAGACTTGACTGGGCATGGTGGCTCACCCCTGTAATCCCAGCACTCTGGGAGGCCGAAGTGGGCGGATCACCTGAAGTCAGGAGTTCAAGACCAGCCTGGCTAACATGGTGAAACCCCATCTCTACTAAAAATACAAAAAGAAGGCACAGGTTACAGTGAGCTGAAATTGCACCATTGCACTGCAGCCTGGGCGACAGAGCAATACTCCATCTTTTAAAAAAAGAAAAAAAAAATATGTATATATATATATATATATATATATATATGAGACTTAATACTTCAATGAGAAAGACTGAAATAAAAAACAAAACAAAAAAGCATTTCCTGTCCATCAGTTGCTAAGTAGCCATGTGCCCCATCTAATGTAATCTAATTTATCATGGAATTTTGGTTTAAGCTGGACATTAAAACTTGCAAATAAATGGCTTTTGCCTAAGATTAATAGTAACATTAATATTGTTTTTCTTCCATCTGTAAAAGTAACATTAATGAAAATCAAATGTTAAAATTCTATAATTATTAGTAAAGTGTTTTATTAAGTACCTTATACATCTAGAATTACTCTTTAATTCTGGAAACAGTTTACTTAGACTCTTCTCTACATAAGAGTAAGATTTCATACTATGATACAGATTTATGCAATGTAATTGTTTCCTTTTGAATTAATACTATTTTAATTTGAGCTGCAAGTTTTTAAAAAACTACTTCGAAGACTAATTCATCTTCATAGATAAGGCAAATAGTCTAATCAGTTTATGGAGAATGTATTTAGAATATGTAACAGCAAGTGGCAGGAGGTACTTTAGAGTTCAAGACTCATGTGCCCATCACTATGCTAGAAGCACCCATAAATATGGAATCATGTACTTGTTGAGAACGTCACTGATGAAAAATCTTGGTCTTTTATGAGCATATGTTACTCATGCTTTCATTTGGTTTTTATTAATAAATTCTTTAGAATTATCCAGATTGAGGGTTTATTTTTTATGAGAAATTGGTATAAATTTCTTATGACATTCTCAAATTTTAAGAAGAATTTACAAACAGACACAGGTGATTTTAATTCAGTTTTACTTTTCTATTGAGGTGATGGTCTGATGTGTCTACTATAAAAGGGCATGATAATATCTTGTGAAGTCGTTTGGTGAAAATTTTGTTTATTAAGAACTGCTTCTGGCCGGGCGCGGTGGCTCACGCCTGTAATCCCAGCACTTTGGGAGGCCGAGGCGGGCGGATCACAAGGTCAGGAGATCGAGACCACGGTGAAACCCCGTCTCTACTAAAAATACAAAAAATTAGCCGGGCGCGGTTGTGGGCGCCTGTAGTCCCAGCTACTCGGGAGGCTGAGGCAGGAGAATGGCGTGAACCCGGGAGGCGGAGCTTGCAGTGAGCCGAGATCGCGCCACTGCACTCCAGCCTGGGCTGGGCGACAGAGCGAGACTCCGTCTCAAAAAAAAAAAAAAAAAAAAAAAAAAAAAGAACTGCTTCTATTGGGTCAAAACAGTGACTTTCTGAGATTCTAAGGCATTACAGTTTTTCCTGCCACTGGGCAACTTAATACTAAATAATAACATTTTGGTACCTGATCAGTGGCCTAAATATAGTATAGCTATAGGGACAAAAGCCCCTTTATCTTTGCATTCATTCATTCATTCATTCATTTATTTATTTATTTATTTATTTATTTATTTATTTTAGAATATTTGGAGTCTTCCTGGTCTTACTGGATGTCACTCTCCTCCTTGCCGACCTAATTTTCAATGATAGCAAACTTTATATTCCTTTGGTGTATCGTTCTATTTCTCTAGCTATTGCCTTATTTTTTCTCATGGATGTTCTTCTTCGAGTATTTGTTGAAGGGTAAGTTTGATTATTTTTATAATGCATTAAGCTATTTTGTACTTTTATAAGAAGCACTGTGGGAGGCTGAGGTGGGAGGACCCCAAGGTCAGGAGTTAGAGACAATCCTGGCCAACATGGTGAATCCTTGTCTCTAGTAAAAATAGAAAAATTAGCTGGGCATGGTGGTGGGTGCCTGTAATCCCAGCTGCTTGGGAGGCTGAGGCAGGAAAATCATTTGAACCTGAGAGGCAGAAGTTGCACTGAGCCGAGATCACGCCATTGCACTCTAGCCTGGGTGACAGGGCGAGACTCCATCTCAAAGACAAAACAAAACAAAAAAGAACAGAAGCATTTTAAAATAATTCACAGGAGCATTCACCACCAACTGACTTAAGAGCCTTTGGGCCTTATGAGAACATTGGCGGTAGTGTGGCAGTACCGCCATGGCCTGTGTTTGAGGTGGCCGTGGATTGATGCTCTTCTGCCTTTGGAGAGGGGTAGAAAGAGTAGGAGGGACTGCATCTTGTGGTTTGAGTGACAGCTCAGCAATAGCACAATAAAATACTAGGTAGACTTTTAAAGTTTTTGATCTAGACCCTGATTCCCAGACAGCGCCTTTGGATCCACCCACAGGCTGGGAGAACTTGCCATCCTGAAGAGAAGGATACAGGCCTGGCTGTTTTTACCATGTGATGCCTGTAGAGCCCCACGTCCTTCAGCAAACTTATGCAATAGCTAAGGAGAGGCTACAGCAGGTCTTGGGCAAGACCCAGTGCTGTGCTGGCCTTAGGTCTGACCCAGTGTAGTCACAGTAGTGGTGGCCACAGGGGTGCTTGTGTCACTCAACCCCAAGCTTTAGGTGCCTCAGAACAGAGAGGGAGAGAGACTCTGTTTGTTTGGGAGAAAGTAAGGGAAGAGAACAAGAGTCTCTTTTTGGTAATGCAGAGAATTATCCTGGATCTTGTCCTAGGCCATTAAGCAGTACCACTATGAGTCTGCAAGAACCACAGAGTTTAGGAGGCTTGGGGTGCCCCCTAAAGCAGAGACAGCTTAGATCACAATATCCAAGTTCTTTCAAATATCTGGAAAGCCTACCCAAGAAAGATGGGTATAAACAAGCCCTGACAGTGAAAACTACAATAAATACCTAACTCTTCAATGCCCGGACACCAAAGAACATCTGCTAGCATCAACACTTTCTAGGAAAACATGACCCCACCAAATGAACTAAATAAGACACCAGGGGCCAATCCTGTAGAAACAGAGATATGTGACCTTTTAGACAAATCAAAATAGCTGTGTTGAGGAAACTCAAAGAAATTCAAGATAACACAGAGAAGGAATTCATAATTCTATTTAGATAAGTTTAACAAAGAGATTGAAATAATTTAAAAGCAGCAGAAATTCTGGAGCCAAAAAATGTAATTGACACACCAAAGAATGCATTAGAGTCTTTTAATAGCAGAATTGATCAAGCAGAAGAAAGAATTAATGAGCTTGAAGACAGGCTATTTCAAAATACATAGAGGAGACAAAAGAAAGAATAAAAAACAATGACGCATGCCTACAGGATCTAGAAAATAGCCTCAAAAGGACAAATCTAAGTGGTATTGGCCTTAGATGGGAGGTGTAGAAAGTGTATTCAAAGGGATAGTAACAGAACTTGCCAAACCCACAGAAAGATACCAATATCCAAGTACAAGAAAGTTATAAAACACCAAGCAGATATAACTCAAAGAAGACTACCTCAAGGAATTTAATAATCACAGTCTCAAAGATCAAGGATAAAGAAAGGATCTTAAAAGCAGCAAGAGAAAAGAAACCAATATATACAATGGAGCTACAATATATCTGACAGCAGACTCTTTAGTAGAAATGTTTCAGGCCAGGAGAGAGAGGCATGACATATTGAAAGTGCTGAAGGAAAAAAACATTTACCTTGAAACAGTGTATCCGGTGAAAATATCCTTCAAAGTGAAGGAGAAAAAAAGACTTTTCCACACAAACAAAAGCTGAGGGATTTCGTCAACACCAGACCTGTCCTAGAAGAAATGCTAAAGGGAGTACTTCAATCAGAAAGACAAGGACATTAATGAGCAATAAGTAACAACCTGAAGGTATAAAATGCACTGGTAATAGTAGGTACACAGAAAAATGCAGAATGTTATAACACTGTAACTATGATGTATAAACTACTCTTATTCTAAGTAGACTAAACTATGAGCCAATCAAAAATATTAACTACAACTTTTCAAGACATAAATGGCGTAATAAGATAGAAATAACAAAAAGTTAAAAAATAGGGACCCAAATTTAAGTTGTAGAGTTTTTATTAGTTTTCTTTTTACTAGTTTATGAAAACAGTGTTATTATAAGATTAAAATAATGGATTATAAGATAGTATTTACAAGCCTCATGGTAACCTCAAACCAAAAGACATAACAATGGATACATGAAAAATAAAAAGCAAGTAACTAAATCACATCACCAGAGAAAATTACCTTCACTAATGGAAGACAAGAAGGAAAGAAGGAAGAGAAGACCCCAAAACAACCAGAAAAAAAAAAAATAACAAAATGGCAAGAGTAAGTCAGTCCTTACTTATCAATAATAATGTTAAGTGTCAGCAGACTAAAACTTTTTAATCAAAAGACAGAGTGGATGAATGGATGAAAAAACAAGACCCAGCCAGGTGTGGTGGCTCACGCCTGTAATCCCAGCACTTTGGGAGGCCAAGGCAGGTGAATCACGAGGTCAAGAGATAGAGACCATCCTGGCAAACATGGTGAAACCCTGTCTCTACTAAAAATACAAAAATTAACTGGGCATGATGGTATGCACCTGTAGTCCCAGCTACTAAGGAGGCTGAGGCAGGAGAATAGCTTGAATCCGGGAGGCAGAGGTTGCAATGAGCCGAGATGGCACCACTGCACTCCAGCCTGGTGACAGAGCAAGACTTCATCTCAAAAAAAATAAAAATAAATAAAAAAATAAAAAGACCCATTGATCTGTTGCCTACAAGAAACACTTCTCCCGTAAAGACACACATAGGCTGGAAGTGGTGGCTCACTCCTGTAATCCTAGCACTTTGGGAGGCAGAGGTGGGTGGTTTACTGGAGGTCAGGAGTTCAAGACCAGCCTGGCCAGTATGATGAAACCCCATCTCTACTAAAAATACGAAAATTAGTTGGGTGTGGTGACCGGGCGCCTGTAATTTTAGCTACTCATGAGGCTAAGGCAGGAGAATCACTTGAACCTGGGAGGCAGAGGTTGCAGTGAGCTGAGATCATGCCACTGCATTCCAGCCTGGGTGACAGAGTGAGACTCAGTCTCAAAAAAAAAAAAAAAAAAAAAGCAAAACAAAAACCAAAAAAATGCCAATATATCTGATAAATATTGATGCAGAAATCCTCAACAAGATACTAGAAAACTGAATTCAACAATATATGGGAAAGATCATTCATCATGACAAGTGGGATGTACCTCTGGGATGCAAGAATGGTTCAATGTTTGCAAATCAATCAATGCGATACATTATATCAACGCAGTAAAGGATAAAAACCATAAGATCATTTCAGTTGATGCTAAAAAGCATTTGATAAAATCCAACATCCCTTCATGGTAAACACCCTAAAAAAACTGGGTATAGAAGTAACACACCTCAACATAATAAAAACCATATATGACAGACCCACAGTCAATACCATACTGAATGGGGAAAAAAACTGAAAAGCTTTCCTCTGCAATCTAGAACACAACAAGGATGCTCACTTTTACCACTGTTATTCAACATAGTACTGGAAGTCCTAGCTAGAGCCATCATAGAAGAGAAAGAAATAAAGGGAATATAAAAAGAAATCCAAATTGGGATAGAAGAAATAAAATTATCCTTGTGTTTGCAGATGATACATTTTATTTAGAAAATACTAAAGACTCCACAAAAAACTTAGAATTGATAAATTCAGCAAAGTTGCAGGATACAAAATCAATATACAAAAATCAGTAGCATTTCTATATGTCAACAGTGAACCATTTGGAAAGGACATTTAAAAAGTGGTCCTATATACAATAGCCACAAATAAAATTAAATACCTAGAAATTAACCTAACCAAAGAAGTGTAAGACCTTTATAATGAAAATGATAAAACACTGAAGAAAGAAATTGAAGAGGACACCAAGAAATGGAAAGAGATTCCATGTTCATGGATTGGAAGAATCAATATTGTTTAAATGTCCATACTATCCAAAGCAATTTACAGATTCATTGCACTCCGTGTCAAAATATGAATGACATTCTTCACAGAAATAGAAGAAACCTAAAATTTATGTGGAGCCACAAAAGACCCAGAATAGCCAAAGCTATTCTAAGCAAAAAGAACAAAGCTGGAGGAATCACATTACCTGACTTCAAATTATACTACAGAACTATATAACCAAAACACCATGGCACTGGCATAAAAACAGACATACAGACCACTGGAACAGAATAGAGAACCCAGAAACAAATCACACACTTACAGTGAACTCATTTTTCATAAATGTGCCAAGAACATACATTGAACAAAAGACTTCTCTTCAACAAATGGTTCTGGGAAAACTGGATATACACATACAGAATAATGCACCTAGACCCCTACCTCTCACCATATATAAATATCAAGTCAACATGGATTAAAGACTTAAATGCAAGACCTCAATGAAAGTACTATACTACAAGAGAACATTGGGACTTTGGTTGGAGCAAAAATTACTTGGGCCATACCTGACAAGCACAGGCAACCAAAGCAAAAATGGACAAATGGGATTGCATCAACTTAAAAAGCTTCTTCATAGCAAAGGAAACAATTAACAAAGTGAAGAGACAGCCCACAGAGTGGTAGAAAATATTTGCAAAGTACCCATCTGAAAAGGGATTAATAACCAGAATATGTAAGGAGCCCAAACAACTCTCTAGGAAAAAAATCTAATGATCTAACTATTTTAGTGAGCATAAGATTTGGATAGGCATTTCTCAAAAGAAAACATACATAAACAGGCATATCAAGGGATGCTTAACATTATAGATCATTAGAGAAATTGGCAGTGTAGAAAACTACAATGAGATATCATCTCACCCCAGCTAAAACTGTTTATATCCAAAAGTCAGGCAATAACAAATCCTGACAAAGATGTGAAGATAAGAGAACCCTCATACACTGTTTATGGAAATGTAAATTAGTAGAATCACTTTGGAGAACAATTTGGAGGTTCCTCAAAAAACTAAAAATAGAGCTACCATATGATCCAGCAATCCCACTGCTGAGTAGATACTCACAAGAAAGGAAATCAGTATATAGAAGAGATACCTGCATTCCCTGTTTGTTGCAGCACTGTTCCTAATAGCTAAGATTTGGAAGCAACTTGTGTCCATCAACAGATGAATGGATAAAGAAAATACAGTACATATACACAAGAGAGTATTATTTAGCCATAAAAACAATAAGATCCTGGCCGAGTGTGGTGGCTCATGCCTGTAATCCCAGCACTTTGGGAGGCTGAGGTGGGCACATCACCTGAGGTCAGGAGTTCGAGACCAGCCTGACCAACATGGCGAAACCCCATCTCTACTAAAAATCCAAAAATTACCTGGGTGTGGTGCCGGGCGCCTGTAATCCCAGCTACTTGTGAGGCTGAGGCAGGAGAATCGCTTGAACCCAGGAGGTGGAGGTTGCAGTGAGCCAAGATCGTGCCATTGCACTCCAGCCTGGGTAACAACACTGAAACTCTATCTCAAAAAAAAAAAAAAGAGATCCTGTCATTTGGAGCAACATGAATGGAACTGGAGATCACTATGTTTGTTAGGTGACATAAGCCAGGCACAGAAGGACAAACCTCACATGTTCTCACTTATTTTGGGGCTCTAGAAAAAAAAAAAAACAATTGAACTCATAGATCTAGAGAGTAGAAGAATGGTCATCAGAGTCTGGGAGTGGTAGTAGGGGCTTGGGGGTGGGAGATAGAGATGGTTAATGGATACAAAAAAAATAGAATGAGTAACGCCTACTATTTGATAGCACAACAGATTGACCATGGTCAACAATAACTTGATTGTATATTTTTAAATGACTGAAAGAGTGTAATTGGGGTGTTTGTAATGTGAATGATAAATGCTTGAGGGGATAGATACCCCACTATCCACGATAAGGGTGATTATTATGCATTTAGTTGTATCATGGTACTTGAATTGCCATGTTGGTGCTTTAGTCATATATATATGTGTCAAATGATGAATATAACTTTATTATTTGAAAACTTCCCATGAATGTTATATTTTCCCCTTAGTCTACTCTAGAAAATATATTTTAAATAATTCATGAAAGTAGAATTCTTAATGTGGATGAGTCAATAGTTTGTGTTCTTTAAATATTCCTATCTCTTCTTGCAGGGGGGAATGAACTTTGTTTGTTTTATATTACAGGAGACAGCACTATTTTTCTGACTTACTTAACGTTTTAGATACCGCCATTATTGTGACTCCTCTGCTGGTTGATGTCGTTTACATTTTTTTTGACATTAAGTTTCTTAGGAATATTCCCAGGTATGAAATGTAAGACTTACCTCTCTTAAAGTTTTTCATTAATTTTGTATTTTCTGTGGCTTTTATTCTATATAATCTTTTAAACTTCAAATGTTCTCATTCTATACCAAATACATTGCTTTAAAATGAAATGTTTAGGTAAATTCCCACACACTTTGAAACTAAAAGATTGTGACATCTGGGGAGCAGTGAAGAGCATGCACACTAAGTACCATTAATTGAATAAAGAAGATGGGGCTGGGCACGGTGGCGCAAGCCTGTAATCCCAGCACTTTGGGAGGCCGAGACGGGCGGATCACGAGGTCAGGAGATCGAGACTATCCTGGCTAACACGGTGAAACCCCGTCTCTACTAAAAAATACAAAAAATTAGCCAGGTGAGGTGGCGGGCGCCTGTAGTCCCAGCTACTCGGGAGGCTGAGGCAGGAGAATGGCGTAAACCCGAGAGACGGAGCTTGCAGTGAACTGAGATCCGGCCACTGCACTCCAGCCTGGGCGACAGAGTGAGACTCCGTCTCAAAAAAAAAAAAAAAAAAAGATGTAGTACCCAAAGAAGGACCTTTACTCTTGTACTAACTTTAACTTCCTACATTTCGAAGTTCTCATCAAATTCCCATTTGTATCATTTTTTGGCCTTTTGGCTAAGATCAAGTATAATATTCTTATCAGTTTAATATGTGCTATATCAAAAAATTTTATATTAAAAACAATTCCCCTCTGTGCTTCAACTACAAATCCCTTACACACGAAATGTTCTGTGTGGATTTTTCCTACAACCAAGAGGAAATTTATTTGAGCATATGCAAAATTTGAGTGACTTCAATCATGAGTTTCTAAAAAATAGCAAACAGAACATTAACTAGGAGATACAGGTGTAGCAACACAATGGTAGAGTTTTGCAGTATAGTTGTGGTAGAAACAAAGAAAGCGCAGGCAAAGTTAGAACTGTTAGGGATTAGGAAACTAAAGAGTGTGTGAGGACCTGGTGACTTTTTTTTCTTTTCTTTTTTTTACTGTGACAGTGAGGAAAATGAAAGAGCAAATGTATAGTGGGATGTAGATGGTGGTTTCCTAAGCTTGTTCATGGGTCAAATAGCTGATTTCTTTTCATACCCTAGCTTCCCTGGACTACAGCTCAGGCCCCAACTAAGCATGTTAAGTGATAGGCTTTTGGAGTTATTTGAAAATAACCTTAGCCAATGTGGTCCTCTTGACTAGAAACCTCAGCATCACTTGAGAGCTTGCTAGAAGTATAAGAAGAAAAATACCTTAGGCCCCACCCGGGACCCACTGAATCAGTATCTCTGGGACCCAGCAATCTGCAGCTTAACAAGCTTTTCCAGATGGCTGTTATTTACGTGTGCCCAAATCAGAGAAGCACTAGTCCAGACCATCAGTTCTCTGCTTCAGTGTTTCTGATGGTGGTAGAGATACCAGCCAGCACACTTTGGAAGTATCTCAGTCTGTTGCCTGCCTGATGTGCATTAGCAGCTGTAGTGAACCTCTCTTACTCATGGGAATAACAGAGATGAACAAGAATAATCAATTTGTTTTGATGTGGAAAAATTGAAAATGCTAGTCTTAAATCCCAAAATTAAATTAACAAATGCTAAGCGTCTATTGTATCACTATTTCTCTAGACCAGAATTTCTCAACCTCAGCGTTACTGACATTTTGGGCCAGATCATTGTCATGAGAGGGTAGTGAGCAGTTATATTAATTGCAGGATGTTAGCAAAATTCCTGGCCTCTATCTACTAGATGTAAGTAACACACACACACACACACACACACACACACATACACACACACATCAGTTGGGAAAACTTAAATGCCTCTGGACATTGCCAAATATCCCCAAGGTAGGTAATTGGGGAGAAGAGGGAAAATTGCCTCTGGTTAACAACTGCTGCTCTAGACAGTAGTTATATTGATACAATTCTGTTTCTGAAGCAAAAATGGATCTTTTAAATTTATTGTTAGATGGATACATTTAGTTCGACTTCTACGACTTATTATTCTGATAAGAATTTTTCATCTGATTCATCAAAAAAGAGAACTTGAAAAGCTGATGAGAAGGCTGGTAAGTGGCAAAACATGCTTATGATTCAGAAAAACTATTTAGTGTTTTGGGACCCATTGGCAAGGGTTGATATCTATGCTGTATATGTTTTTATTTTTATGTTGATGAATGTTTCACAAACTAACGATGATTTTAAACTCTCAGGTTTCAGAAAACAAAAGGCGATACACAAGGGATGGATTTGACCTAGACCTCACTTATGTTACAGGTTTGTGACACTTAACTGTTGATTTACTTGTATTACTTCACTTTTTTCTTATAATTGTGTATTTTTTTGCCTCATCTAAGACACATTCATTCAAAATATTCTTTATTCATGAGGATATATGCCACTGTGATAGAGTGACACATTTGTGGTTTAGCCTTGGCAATGGAAGATCTGCATGTCTTCTCAATTCAGAACTACTTGGTTGCAGCATAGGAACTTGAATGGATTTTCAGCTGACTCCATTTCAGTTTCAATTTATTAAGCTCTAGTAGTTATTCTGAGTCTTAAGGATCCCAGAGAGACCTCTTCTCATCCTAGAACCCCAGAGAATGAGGTCAGTGCTTTGTAGATCTCAGGTTTTCTGAGTCAGAGGGCTGCAAAGCCCCTTGGGAGTTCCCACCATCACTGGTGCCCAGAACTCTTGGATTTTCTCTGGTATTTAAGATAAGAAATAAATTCTAAGAACAGGGAGAGCTCCATACTGAGGCCAACATAAGTACATGGCATACAGTTAGTACTAGTGGAGTCTTAAGAACGCCATGCCAGTTTAATGGTCATTATGTTGGATCATTTAATATGTTATTTGATTATCCTGAGTATTAGCTCTTTTCTGTCAACCTCAATCTTAAAAGTTTTTTTTTTTCCTGTGAAAATGGAGTCTGATCATGTATAAATTAATTTTTTGTATGTCATAAGAAATCTATAATAATGTTTTTAATAGTGATGGTTTTGATTTTCAGAACGTATTATCGCTATGTCATTTCCATCTTCTGGAAGGCAGTCTTTCTATAGAAATCCAATTGAGGTAAGGGTCTTTATCTGACAAATGCTCATTTATCAGTGAATGCAGACTATGTAGTCACAAGTTTAATATTGACCCAGATATGGCAGTGTTCTTTTAAAAATGTACTCTTTAAAGTAAAAAAAATCATAATGAATTGATACCAGTTACAATTGTGCCAGTGGTTACAAACCACCCCAAAACTTACTGGCTTATAACAGCAACTATTTATTTGGCCCATGACACTATGGTTTGTGAATTTGGGATGGGCTTAACTGTCCAATTCAGGTGCCTGCAGAGAGGATTTCTTGTCTCAACTAAGCTCATTCAGCTATCGGTGGGCAGCTACTGGGTCATCTGAGGACTGACTAGTCTAAAATGACTTGGCTACCCTCAACTGACAGAGCCACCGCATGCTACACGCACCCCCCAAGGCCCAAGGCCCATCCCATCTGGCACCCACTGCTGCCAACAGCCCCACCCCCTTCACCAGCAGAGCCACCATATGCTGCACGCACTTCTAAGGCACTGAGGCCTGGCCTGCCTGGTGCCCAACCTGCTGGTGGCAATACCCCACAACTAGCAAAGCCATTGCACCTAACATGCATATGCCTAGGGCCTGAGAACTCATCTGAATGATGGCTCACAGACCAAAAAAACCATACCACTGTCTCCACACTCACCATCAGGCCACTGAGGCACTCACAGACACCACTGAATGCTGATTACAGCCAAAAAAGTCACATGAAGACTATAATACTGCACCCACCCAGAACCAAAGTCAAAGCACCCGACTCAGTGAACACTATAAGAGGCAACTATTGGAAGAAGTATTTCTCTATGAAAGCTCCCTAACATTGGAAGAGGCAACTGTTCCCCCAGATGTGCAAAAATCAATTTAGGGCCCCAAGAAACATAAAAAGCAAGGAAACATTACACCTCCAAAGAAACACAATAATTTCCCATTAGCAGACCCTAAATTTTAAGAGTATATCAAATGGCTAAGAAGGAATTCAAAATAATGATCTTAAGGAAACTCTGTGAGATGCAGAGAATATAGATAAACAAATCAATGAAATTAGAAAAACAATTTATGATCTTATGAGAAATTCAACAGGGATATATATGTCATTAAAAACCAGACAGAGATCTTGGAGCTGAAGAATTTAAGGAATAAAATAATAATACCATCAAGAGTCCAGATGCAGTGGTTCACACCTGTTATCCCAGCACTTCAGGAGGCCCACGCAGTGGATCACTTGAGGCTAGGAGTTCAGGACAAGCCTGATTAACATGGTGAAATCCTGTCCCTAAAAAATACAAAAATTAGTTGGGCTTGGTGGCGCATGCCTGCAATCTACTTGAGAGGTTGAGACATGAGAATTGCTTGAACCCAGGAGGTGGAGGTCGCAGTGAGCCAAGATTGTACCACTGCACTCCAGTCTGGGTGGCAGAGCGAGACCCTGTCTCAAGAAAAAAAAAAGTACAATCAAGAAGTTTAAAAATAGACATGGGAGAGATATGGCCAAAATCTAGGAAGCTCAAAGGTTCTCAAATAGATTCAACCCAAAAAGTTCTTCTCTGAGGTGCATAATATTCAAACTGTCAAAAGTCAAAAAGAGGGAATATTTGTTAGGTGTAGTGGCTCACACCTGTTATCCCAGCACTTCGGGAGGCAGAGGTGGGTAGATCACTTGAGGCCAGGAGTTCAAGATGAGCACAGCCAACATGTTTCCGTTTTCACTAATAATACAAAAACATCAGCTGGGTGTGGTGGCATGAACCTGTACTTCCAGTTACTTGGGAGGCTGAATCACAAGAATTGCTTAAACCCAGGAGGTGGAGGTTGCAGTGGGCCAAGATCACACCACTGCACTACAGGCTGGGTGACAGAGCAAGACTGTATCCAAAAAAAAAAAAACAAAAAAAAAAAAAACACAGAAATATCAAAAACAGCAAGAAAAAAGCATCAAGTCACGTATAAGGGAACTTCCATTTGATTAACAGTGGATTTCCCAGTGAAAACTTTACAGGTCAGTAGACAATGAGATGGGATGATATATTCAAAGTACTGAAGGAAAAAAAAACAAAACTGTCAACCAAGAATACTATACCCAGCAGAGCTATCCCCTAGAAATGAGGGAGAAATAAAGTATTTCCTAGACAAGCAAAAACTGAAGGAATTCATTACCACGAAACTGGCCTTATAAGTACTGCTTAAGGTGGTTCTAGACCTGGAAGCAAGAGGATGATTACCATTGTGAAAACACACAAAAGTATAAAACTCACTGGTAGCACAGATAGGCACATGGGAAAGAGAAAGGAATCAAACTTTATCACTACAGAAAATGACCAAACCACAAAGATTTTTTTAAAAAGGGGGAAGAAAAGAACAAAGGATGTACAAAACAACCAGAAAAAAATGAACAAAATAACAGGATAAAGCCTCATCTATTAATAGTAACCTTGAATGTAATATAAACAGATCAAATTCCCAATTAAAAGATACAGAGTTGGCTGCCAAGATTTAAAAAAAAAAAGACGCAACTGTATACTGCCTACAATAAACTAACTTTACCTGTAAAGGTTCACACAGACTGAAAGTGAAAGGATAGAGGAAAATATTTCAGGCAAACAGAAACCAAAAGCGAGCAGAGGTAGCCGTACTTATCAGATAAAACAGACTTTAAGTCAAACTGTATGAAGAGACAAAGAAGGTCATTTTATAATAAAGGGATCAACTTAGCAATAAGATATAATAATTATAAATATATATGTACCCAACACTAGAGTATTCAGATAAACAAGGCAAATATTATTAGATCTAAAGGGAAAGATAGACTTCAATGCAAAAACAGTTGGGGTCTTTAACATCCCACTCTTACCACGGGGCAGATCATCCAGACAGAAAATCAACAAAGAAATATCAGATTTAAGCTTACAGATAGGAATAAGTTCTGGTGTTCTGTAGTGCTGTAGGGTGACTACAGTTAACAATAATTTATTGTATATTTTTAAATAGAGAGGATGTTGAGTGTTCCCAACACAAAGAATGATAAATATTTGAGGTGATAGATATGCTGATTATCCTGATTTGGTCATTACACATTGTATACAGGTATTGGAATATCCCTGTCTACCTTATAAATATGAACAAGTATGATGTGTCAATTAGAAATATTTTTAAAGAATGAAGGAAACAGATTTTTTAAATGAAAGAAAAGAAAATAACCTGACTTGGCTGAATGGCCCCGTGTGGTCTCTCATTCTCCAGTAGGCTGCTTCAGGCCTGTTCACATGATGGCAGAGGCAAGAGTCCTTGGAGCGGCAACAAAGCAATGCAAATCCTCTTAAGGCCCAGGCTCAAAATTATATGTTACTTCTACCCCATTTTATTGGACAATGCAATTTACACTACCAGTCTGGATTCAAGGAGTAGAAAATAAGCTTGAATTCTTGATGGAAGGAATTATAAAGAATCGTGGCCGTTTTTGATAGTCTACCATAGGGAAGAAAGATGGGGATGCTATAACAAAATGTGTATTCTTAGGTTGAGATCCTAAATTATAGTGGGGGCATACTGCTTTAGGCTCTGTGGATGACTAAATTAATTTCAAACATATAAGGCTGTTTACTGTGAAATGCCAGCTGAAAGGATCATTGTTTAATTTTATGTAATTTACAATACTTATTATACCTCAATAAATGTATAATTATCGAGGGCTGGCATCAGTTGCTGAGAGGTGGAAGGAGTAGCTCTCTGCAGTGCGTTAGCTCAGTTCCCAACAGGACAGTACCTCTCCGCGGTGTGTTAGCTCAGTTCCCAACAGGACAGTACCTCTCCGCGGTGTGTTAGCTCAGTTCCGAACAGGACAGTACCTCTCCGCGGTGTGTTAGCTCAGTTCCGAAGAGGCCAGTACCTCTCCGCGGTGTGTTAGCTCAGTTCCCAACAGGACAGTACCTCTCCGCGGTGTGTTAGCTCAGTTCCCAACAGGACAGTACCTCTCTGCAGTGCGTTAGCTCAGTTCCCAACAGGACAGTACCTATCCGCGGTGCGTTAGCTCAGTTCCCAACAGGACAGTACCTCTCTGCAGTGTGTTAGCTCAGTTCCCAACAGGACAGTACCTCTCCGCGGTGTGTTAGCTGTTCCCAACAGGACAGTACCTCTCTGCAGTGTGTTAGCTGTTCCCAACAGGACAGTACCTATCCACGGTGCGTTAGCTGTTCCCAACAGGACAGTACCTCTCCGCAGTGTGTTAGCTCAGTTCCCAACAGGACAGTACCTCCCGGTGTGTTAGCTCAGTTCCCAACAGGACAGTACCTCTCTGCAGTGTGTTAGCTCAGTTCCCAACAGGACAGTACCTCTCCGCGGTGTGTTAGCTCAGTTCCCAACAGGACAGTACCTCTCCGCGGTGTGTTAGCTCAGTTCCGAACAGGACAGTACCTCTCCGCGGTGTGTTAGCTCAGTTCCCAACAGGACAGTACCTCTCTGCAGTGTGTTAGCTGTTCCCAACAGGACAGTACCTCTCTGCAGTGTGTTAGCTCAGTTCCCAACAGGACAGTACCTATCCGCGGTGCGTTAGCTGTTCCCAACAGGACAGTACCTCTCTGCAGTGTGTTAGCTGTTCCACAGGACAGTACTCTCCAGTGTGTTAGCTTTCCCAACAGGACAGTACCTCTCCGCGGTGTGTTAGCTCAGTTCCAACAGGACAGTACCTCTCTGCGGTGTTAGCTGTTCCCAACAGGACAGTACCTCTGCAGTGTTAGCTCAGTTCCCAACAGCACAGTACCTCTCTGCAGTGTGTTAGCTCAGTTCCCAACAGGACAGTACCTCTCCGCGGTGCGTTAGCTCAGTTCCCAACAGGACAGTACCTCTCCGCGGTGTGTTAGCTCAGTTCCCAACAGGACAGTACCTCTCCGTGGTGTGTTAGCTCAGTTCCCAACAGGACAGTACCTCTCTGCAGTGTGTTAGCTGTTCCCAACAGGACAGTACCTCTCTGCAGTGTGTTAGCTCAGTTCCCAACAGGACAGTACCTATCCGCGGTGCGTTAGCTGTTCCCAACAGGACAGTACCTCTCTGCAGTGTGTTAGCTGTTCCCAACAGGACAGTACCTCTCCGCAGTGTGTTAGCTGTTCCCAACAGGACAGTACCTCTCCGCGGTGTGTTAGCTCAGTTCCCAACAGGACAGTACCTCTCTGCAGTGTGTTAGCTGTTCCCAACAGGACAGTACCTCTCTGCAGTGTGTTAGCTCAGTTCCCAACAGCACAGTACCTCTCTGCAGTGTGTTAGCTCAGTTCCCAACAGGACAGTACCTCTCCGCGGTGTGTTAGCTCAGTTCCCAACAGGACAGTACCTCTCCGCGGTGTGTTAGCTGTTCCCAACAGCACAGTACCTCTCTGCAGTGTGTTAGCTCAGTTCCCAACAGGACAGTACCTCTCTGCAGTGTGTTAGCTGTTCCCAACAGGACAGTACCTCTCTGCAGTGTGTTAGCTCAGTTCCCAACAGGACAGTACCTATCCGCGGTGCGTTAGCTGTTCCCAACAGGACAGTACCTCTCCGCGGTGTGTTAGCTCAGTTCCCAACAGGACAGTACCTCTCCGCGGTGTGTTAGCTGTTCCCAACAGCACAGTACCTCTCTGCAGTGTGTTAGCTCAGTTCCCAACAGGACAGTACCTCTCCGTGGTGCGTTAGCTCAGTTCCCAACAGGACAGGGCTGCAAGTTCAGCTGCTTCCCAGAAAATGTCCTGGATCCCCGGCCTGAGTCATCATCCCAACAGGACAGTACCTCTCTGCAGTGTGCGTTAGCTCAGTTCCCAACAGGACAGTACCTCTCTGCAGTGTGTTAGCTCAGTTCCCAACAGGACAGTACCTCTCTGCAGTGTGTTAGCTGTTCCCAACAGGACAGTACCTCTCCGCAGTGTGTTAGCTCAGTTCCCAACAGGACAGTACCTCTCTGCAGTGTGTTAGCTCAGTTCCCAACAGGACAGTACCTCTCTGCAGTGTGTTAGCTGTTCCCAACAGGACAGTACCTCTCTGCAGTGTGCGTTAGCTCAGTTCCCAACAGGACAGTACCTCTGCAGTGTGTTAGCTCAGTTCCCAACAGGACAGTACTCTCTGCGTGTGTTAGCTGTTCCCAACAGGACAGTACCTCTCCGCAGTGTGTTAGCTCAGTTCCCAACAGGACAGTACCTCTCTGCAGTGTGTTAGCTCAGTTCCCAACAGGACAGTACCTCTCTGCAGTGTGTTAGCTGTTCCAACGGACAGTACTCTCTGCAGTGTGTTAGCTCAGTTCCCAACAGCACAGTACCTCTCTGCAGTGTGTTAGCTGTTCCCAACAGGACAGTACCTCTCTGCAGTGTGTTAGCTCAGTTCCCAACAGGACAGTACCTCTCCGCAGTGTGTTAGCTCAGTTCCCAACAGGACAGTACCTCTCTGCAGTGTGTTAGCTGTTCCCAACAGGACAGTACCTCTCTGCAGTGTGTTAGCTCAGTTCCCAACAGGACAGTACCTCTCTGCAGTGTGTTAGCTCAGTTCCCAACAGGACAGTACCTCTCCGCGGTGCCTTAGCTCAGTTCCCAACAGGACAGTACCTCTCCGCGGTGTGTTAGCTCAGTTCCCAACAGGACAGTACCTCTCCGCGGTGCCTTAGCTCAGTTCCCAACAGGACAGTACCTCTCCGCGGTGTGTTAGCTGTTCCCAACAGGACAGTACCTCTCCGCAGTGTGTTAGCTCAGTTCCCAACAGGACAGTACCTCTCTGCAGTGTGCGTTAGCTCAGTTCCCAACAGGACAGTACCTATCCGTGGTGCATTAGCTGTTCCCAACAGGACAGTACCTCTCTGCAGTGTGTTAGCTGTTCCCAACAGGACAGTACCTCTCTGCAGTGTGTTAGCTGTTCCCAACAGGACAGTACCTCTCTGCAGTGTGTTAGCTCAGTTCCCAACAGGACAGTACCTCTCTGCAGTGTGTTAGCTGTTCCCAACAGGACAGTACCTCTCCGCGGTGTGTTAGCTCAGTTCCGAACAGGACAGTACCTCTCCGCAGTGTGTTAGCTCAGTTCCCAACAGGACAGTACCTCTCTGCAGTGTGTTAGCTCAGTTCCCAACAGGACAGTACCTCTCGCGTGTGTTAGCTGTTCCCAACAGGACAGTACCTCTCTGCAGTGTGTTAGCTCAGTTCCGAACAGGACAGTACCTCTCCGCAGTGTGTTAGCTCAGTTCCCAACAGGACAGTACCTCTCCGCGGTGTGTTAGCTCAGTTCCCAACAGGACAGTACCTCTCCGCGGTGTTAGCTGTTCCCAACAGACAGTACCTCTCGCGTGTTAGCTCAGTTCCCAACAGACAGTACCTCTCCGCGTGCTTAGCTCAGTTCCCAACAGCACAGTACCTCTCTGCAGTGTGTGCCTTAGCTCAGTTCCCAACAGGACAGTACCTCTCCGCAGTGTGTTAGCTGTTCCCAACAGGACAGTACCTCTCTGCAGTGTGCGTTAGCTCAGTTCCCAACAGGACAGTACCTCTCCGCGGTGCGTTAGCTCAGTTCCCAACAGGACAGGGCTGCAAGTTCAGCTGCTTCCCAGAAAATGTCCTGGATCCCTGGCCTGAGTCATCATCCCATGACTGGAGAATGTGGACAGATTATTTTATCAAGAAACTGGTGATAAACGAGGGACTATAGGAATTAAGAACTGGGTTGAAAAAGTTTAGAGTGATGCAAGATGGCCAATTAGAAGCAGCTGCAGTCTGCAGCACTCACAAAGAGGAATGAAAAGGGGCGAGGGAATTCAGCACCTTCAACTGAGATATCCCGGTTCTCACGTTGGGACTGACTGGATGAACAGGTCAACCAAAGGAGAACGAAGAAAAGTGGGGAGAGGGTGCAATGCCTCAGCCAGGGGTGGTGTGGAGCCTAAGGAACCCCCACTCCCAGCCAAGGGAAGCAGTGAGGGATTGTGCAGTCCTGCCGGGGAAACCGTGCTTCTCCCATGCAAGCCATGGATCAGGAGATCCCCCTGTGAGCCCATGCCACCAGGGCCTTGGGTCTGATTCACAGAACTGTATGGCGTCGGGCACATCAGCTGCTCAGGCACACACAGAAACCCAGGAGTCTGACACACTCTAGCCCCTGGGCTCTTCAGCACAGTGGGAAATCTGTCCATCTGTATCTCTGGGAAGGGGCCTGAATCCAGGGATCCAGGCAGTGTCATTCTGCAGGCCCCATTTCCATGACACCTCACAAGTTAAGACCCACTGGCTTGGAATCCTAGCCTGCCAACAGCAGCGGGCTGGAATCCACCTCAGATGGGTCTGAGTTCCCAGGGAGGTGGGGAGAGGCAGCCGGCATCGCTGTGGTTCATAGACTCAGCCACTCCAGCCTGCCAGCTATGGAGTCTGGACAAGGAAGAGTTTCCCCACAACACAGCACAGCTGGCTTGCCAGATCGTGACCAGACTGCTTCTTTAAGCAGGACCCCAATCCATTCCCCCTCACTGGGCAGGAATCCCTGTGGGGGCTTTAACCCCTCCAGCAATGGTTCTATGGACAGAGCTTTGATCTCTCCCTGAAATGGAGCTCCTGGCGGGAGGGGCAGCTGCCATCTCTGCAGTTTGGCCAACTCAGCCACTCCAACCTGCTGGCCTTGGAGAACACAGGTGGTCCGGAGGAGGAAGTATCCCCCACAATGCAGCATACCTGCTCTACCCTAAAGCAGCCAGACTGCTTCTTTGGAGGGGTCCCTGATCCCATACCTCCTGACTGGGTGAGAATGCCCAACAGGGGTCTCCAGCCACCTCCTGCAGGTATGTGCGGGCTGGCTACAGGTCGGTAACCCCCTGGGATGGAGCTTCCAAAGGAAGGAGCTGGCTGCCGTCTTTGCTGTTCTGCGGCCTTCACTGGTAATACCTCGTTCAGAGTCAATGAGGAACTTAAATTTACAAGAAAAAAACAACCTTTAAAAAGTGGGCAAAGGATCTGAACAGACACTTCCCGAAAGAGACATGCATGCAGTCAACAAAAATATGAAAAAAGAGCTCAACATCACTGATCATTAAAGAAATGCAAACAAAACCACAATGAGATACCATCTCATGCCAGTCAGAATGGCTATTATTAAAAAGCCAAAAAACAACAGATGCTGGGAAGGTTGCGGAGAAAAACGAATGCTTTTACACTGTTGGTGGGTGTGTAAATTAGTTCAACCCATGTGGAAGACAGTGTGGCAATTCCTCAAAGACCTAGAGGCAGAAATACCATCTGACCCAGCAATCCCATTGTGGGGTATATACCCAAAGGAATGTAAATCACTGTCTTATAAAGATACATGCATGCACACGTATGTTCACTGCAGCAGTATTCACAACAGCAAAGACATGGAATCAATCTAAATGCCAGCCTATGATAGATTGGATAAAGAAATGTGGTACATAGAGCGGGACCTCTGGCTTCCGAGCGGGAACCTTTGTAGCGCCAGCGACGAAAAAGAGAATTAAATATGGGTGATGTTGAGAAAGGCAAGAAGATTTTTGTTCAGAAGTGTGCCCAGTGCCACACCGTGGAAACGGGAGGCAAGCACAAGACTGGGCCTAATCTCCATGGTCTCATCGGGTGGAAGACAGGTCAGGCCATTGGATTCTCTTACATAGACACCGGTAAGAACAAAGGCATCACCTGGGGAAATGATACACTGAGGGAGTATTTGGAGAATCCCAGGAAGTACGTTCCTGGAACAAAAATGATCTTTGCCGGCATTAAGAAGACGGCAGAAAGGGCAGACTTGTTAGCTTATCTCAAAAAAGCTACAAGTGAGTAATAATTGGCCACTGCCTTATATTACAAAACAGAGATGTCTCATGACTTTTTTATGTGTACTGTAATTTAGTAGATCTCATACAGCCGAATTCAGATTATGAATGACTATCAGAATATTTTGTTGGGCAGTCCTGATTTAAAACTAAGACTGGCTTGTGGTTAAATGAGTAAGTCTGGTTTTTGAATATTAATAGTAATTCCAATTCAGTCAATGCTATCACTGGTTACCCCTTCTAAAGATATGATTAGACTTTGTTAATAATGTTCAACTTTTCACAAAGATGGTGAGTTCCATCTTAAAACTTATTGGAGATTGGTTTTATGTTTAGATTTATATTTAGATTTATATGACTGGCTATGTGAATATATTTAAATACTGGGGAAATTCCTTCACTGTCTCAGAACCAAGCAAAATTCACCTGTATTTTGTGTTTATTTGCCTCTTACAGGCAAGGGTTGAAGATAAGGTAGCAATGTCTATTTGTATTTTTGGCCTTAACTATGCCAATCTAATTAGAATTACCTGTATTTAAGGTGGTTCCTTTTACTGATTCAAAGGCGTTTTGTGTGGTTTCTGTGTAATATCAAATAAAGAGTATTTAACACTGAAGAAACAACAACAAAAAGAAAATGTGGTACATAAACACCATGGAAAACTGTGCAGCTATAAAAAGGAACAAGATTACATCCTTTGCAGGGACATGGATGTAGCTGGAAGCTGTTATCCTCAGCAAACTAACACAGGAACAGAAAACCAAACACTGCATGTTCTCACTTATATGTGGGAGCTGACAATGAGAACACATGGGCACATGGTGAGGAATAACACACACTGGGGCCTGTCGGGAGGGAGGGGATGGGGGAAGGAGAGCATCAGGAAGAATAGCTAATGGATGCTGGGCTTAATACCTAGGGATGGGATGATCTGTGCAGCAAACCACCATGGCACACATTTACCTATGTAACAAACCTGCACATCCTGCGCACGTACCCCTGAACCTAAAATAAAAGTTGAAGTAAAAAAGATATATAAAGTTATCTGTATATACATATGCCCTGATGTAAGTATACATTATATATGTGTATATATAACCACATTTTTATTGAGGTATAAAGCATATGGTAGGTTGCACTAATCAAGTTATATCTTGATGATATTATACATAAGTATATATGCATGTAACCAACACCTCTATCAATATTTTGGTCTACGACTGACCTCCAATTAATTGTTGTAAAGATATAAAGTATCAAGGTTCACGTTTCTCACATAGCTATCAATTCCTCCTGTACCATTTATTGTAAAAAGCATAATTTCCCCCAATGAATTGCAGAGGTGCGTTTATTGCATATAAAGTGCACATATATGTATAGATCTGTTTCTGGGCTTTTTGTCCTTTCATTATGACTGTCTATACTTAAGTCCAGACCACAGTTTTAATTATTACAGCTTTATAGTGACTCTTGAAAACCTGTGTATAAGTCCTCCAACTTTGTACTTCTTTGTTTAAAAACTGTCTTGGCTCTCCTAGATTTTTTGAATTTCCATATAAATTTTAGAATCATCTTGGCAATTTACATACACACACCTCCACCCAAACCCACACACACACACACCCACACCCTGTTAGTATTTTGACTTGGGCATTGACTACATAGCTTAATTTGGAGAGAATTGACATCTAAAAATATTGAGATTTCCAACTCATGAACATAATACATCTCTCTACTGATATCTTCTTTGATTTCTTTTAGCAGTGTTTGTAGTGTACAGGTTTTACACATCTTTTGTTTTATTTCTATGTAGTTGATAAGTTTTTATGCTATTTTAAATGATATTTGAAGATCTTCATTTTCTAAATATTTGCTATTGGTATATAGGAACATAACTAATTTTTGCATATTGACTTTTGTTTATTTGTTTGTCTTAAGACAGGGCCTTGCTCTGTCACCATAGGCTGGAGTGAAGTGGCACCTGGGCTCAAGCAATTCTCCCACCCCAGTCTCCCACATAGCTGGGACTATAAGCAGGCATCACCACACTTGGCTAATTTTTTTAAATTAATTTTTGTAGAGAAGGAGTCTCTCTGGTCTCATTGACCCAGGCTGGTCTTGAATTCCTGGATTCAAGCAATCCTCCCACCTCAGCCTCCCAAAGTGCTGGGATTACAGGTGTGAGCCACCACACCTGGCCTTGGATGTTGACTTTACATCTAGCATCCTTCGTAAATTCACACATTCATTTTAATAATGAATGTGTAGATTCCCTGGGATTTTTAAAATGTATACAATCATATAAAGTTACTACTTTCTTCCCACTTTTTATACTTTTTTTTTCTTTTATTGAATTATCTAGGACTTTCACTGTAATATTGGATAGAAATGGTAAGAGGAGGCAGCCTTGCCCTGTTCCCAAACTCGGGTGGAAAGAATTTCATGCTTCACTATTTGAAATGGTGTTTGCTATAGGCTTTTGTAGTCATTCCTTACTAGATTAACACAGTCCATTTATTTCTAGTTTGCTAAAAGTTTTGAATCATGAATTGGTATTGAATATATCAGATTTTTTTCTGCATCAATCAAGATAATCAAAATGTTTTTCTGTTAGTCCATTAATGAGATTTTCAAATGTTAAACTAACCTTTTTTATTTTTGGAATAAATTCCTTTTGGTCTTAATGTATTATCCTTTTTATATAACACTAGATTCTATTTGCTAATATTTTATGTAGAACTTTTCATCTGTGTTCATGAGTGATATGTGGTTTTCTTTCCTTGAAATGTCTTTATCAGCTGGTCTACAATTACCTTAGCTTAGGTGTCTTGGGTAACTCCTATCTGCTCAACTCATCTTCATCCTCCATCAGGATGAATATGATGGATATGTTTCAAGGTCATAGCAAAAGGAAAGAGCTAGAGTAGAATCTTGCAAGTGCTTTTGCAAGCCTCTCCTTTGTGGCATCCCAGTGGCCAAATCAACTCATATAATGGAACACAAAATTAGAGTGAAAGGATACTATGAGGTGAAATGTGAGGGCTTAGATTCAGGAAAAGTTGAAGAATTGAGACCATTGATGAAATGATTCTACCTTATTCTCAGGCAGGGAAGCATTTTTATACATGCAGATAGTTCACAAGAAATAACTGATATGTAGTCATAGACTCAAGACTTCAGCAATTGTATAAAAATACATTTGTAAATACCTGAAGACCTTGAAGAGAAGGGTCTGAACCACATCTCACCCAGGTTATGCTATTCACAGCTAAGACATGACTCTACCAGTCCCTCGGCCAATTTTGAAAATTGTTTCAAACTATTTATTTGAGGTGGAATTACCTTTTGTCACTCCTAATGGGCACAGTCATGGAGTAATGTGACCAGGGTCCACTGGATCGGTCATGGCACTTGAGGGCAGCCATCCCAAAATTTCCAAATTCCATCTTTATGGGTAAAACATCTCTTGATTGCTAATATTTTTTTTAAAGCAGGTTAAGCTAATAACTGTGAGTTAATTATAGCATGTCTATATTGAGCCAATTTTCTTTCAGTAGATTCGGTGGTGACTAATATAAATTTGGCAACACTTAATATTAGCTGGGGTGATTTTAAAAAGCCAAAACCTTTTAGAATGTAAAGCAAAACAGAGACATTCCTATTTCCTTCTGGGGTGATCCCTAGGCTCTTGGTTTCTATCATTTATTAAACTATTATCTCCTTGGGGCATTGACAAAGTACTAATGAGTCATTGATTGCTTTACCTTTTTTTTTTTTTTTCGAGACGGAGTCTCGCTCTGTCGGCCAGGCTGGAGTGCAGTGGTGTGATCTCGGCTCACTGCAAGCTCCGCCTCCCGGGTTCACGCCATTCTCCTGCCTCAGCCTCCCGAGTAGCTGGGATTACAGGTGCCCGCCACCTCCCCCGGCTAGTTTTTTGTATGTTTTAGTAGAGATGGGGTTTCACCATGTTAGCCAGGATGGTCTCGATCTCCTGACCTCGTGATCCGCCTGTCTCGGCCTCCCAAAGTGCTGGGATTACAGGCTTGAGCCACCGCATCCGGCCCCTTTACCATTTTTAATCAGAGTATCCAAAAAGGAGGTAATCATGTGTTTTAATAAATTCCACAAATCATAAACCACCTGAAAAGCAAATCTACCATCCATATTAATATTTAGTCTTTCATCTTTGCCAGAGTGCAGCCCCAAATCTAAGTTACTAGTTCAGCTACCTGGGCAGGCTGGGAATCGGGCCGTGGAGCCCTCAGTGGTTGCATGTTCAGTGATAACAGCATGTTCTGCACTGGGAGTGTCTCTGTCATACTTGAGAACCATCTACAAAGCGCATTGAATCAAGGTTGACTAAAAGGGAGAAGATTCAAATCCAGGCATACTTAACTCCTGAGAGGATGCTGAACAGTCATGTGATTCCCCTTTATTCTTAAAAGGGAATAAAGTTGCAGGGTTACATTTTGAATAACAGCGAATATGCAAAGCAGACATTACAGTTTCATAAGTGGTAAATTGACTAGTGGGGAAATGTCAGATGCTGCCTTGAAGTAGCAAAAACTGTAGAGATGCAGGACCCTAGAGTTAGTGGAGAGACAAGCGCTGTGGTGGAAGCATCAACACGTTTGGCCACTGCCACCACCTCATGCAAGTACAGAAGTATACCTTTGCCTCCAAATCAAGGAACGTACTAAGATAGGCAGAGAGAAGAGTTGGTAGATTTAGGAAAACTCGAAGGTGGAGATTGTTGTAAGAAGGCTTTCAAATAGAAGACAGCATTTTCTACTTTTGCATCACAACGAAGAGTTTCAGAAATTATAAACTTAGTAAGCCCATGCAAAGGCTGAATTATTGAGAAAAATCAGATATACAATTATCTACCTTCCTACAATTTTCTTAGCCATCTTTTAATTTCTGTTCCTGGTAGAATTGAATGCACTTAATTCTGGCTGAAAACAGAAACTGTCCATCTGGTGACAGATTGTGACCAGAAAAATGTAGATTCTTGGCAGAGTTGAAATTTTTTCTAGATTCTTTATGTCCTTTTTCACCTAATTTGGATAAGAGGTATTTAGAGTCTTCAGTAAACTACTTAGATCAGAAAATGCAGCAGTAAATCATCTAAATATTGAGTCTCTCTATATATATATGATTTAGACATTGAGACAACTAGGAAGTGGATTCGGAAAAATCCCTAAAGCTTAACCATCCAGGTATATTTGTTTTCCCATGAAAAAGCAAATATTGACTGTTTTTCTATATGTGTATACTAAGGAAGGCTGCACATAAATTACCAGTGTGAGATACTTACTTGTTGAGAGAATGAAGGACAGGGACAGGTGTGGTGGCTCACACCTGTAATCCCAGCACTTTGGGAGGCCGAGGAGGGTGGATCACCTGAGGTCAGGAGTTCAAAACCAGCCTGGCTGACATGGTGAAACCCCGTCTCTACTAAAAATACAAAAAATTAGCCAGGCATAGTGGTGGGCGCCTGTAATCCCAGCTACTCAGGAGGCTGAGGCAGGAGAATTGCTTGAACCTGGGAGGCGGAGGTTGCAGTGAGCTGATATTGCACCATTGCACTCCAGCCTGAGCAACAAGAGTGAAACTCCATCTCAAAATAAAATAAAATAAAATAAAGTAAAATAAAATGAAGGACAGGACAGTATTCTAATGGTTGCAGATATTTCATTAGCGCTGTGATTAACCTCTAATGTTGGACATTTAAGTGTCACTATAATCAATAATACAGCAACAGACATCTTTGTGCATAAGGCTTTTTCTGTATAGAGTGCTAGGAGTAAAATTACGTAGCTAAGAGTATGAATATTTTTAGGGTTCTTAATATATCTTGCCAAATCCAAGAGCAGTTGTATTCTTGTATCAACAATAAATCAAAGTTTTGAATTTCATGCCTTATTTTGCCAGCATTGGATTTTCTCATTAAAAGATAAAGGGTTGGCCGGGCGTGGTGGCTCAAGCCTGTAATCCCAGCGCTTTGGGAGGCCGAGACGGGCGGATCATGAGGTCAGGAGATCGAGACCATCCTGGCTAACACGGTGAAACCCCGTCTCTACTAAAAAATACAAAAAAAAAAATACTAGCTGGGCGAGGTGGCAGGCGCCTGTAGTCCCAGCTACTCGGGAGGCTGAGGCAGGAGAATGGTGTGAACCCGGGAGGCGGACCTTGCAGTGAGCTGAGATCCGGCCAATGCACTCTAGCCTGGGCAACAAGCAAGACTCCGTCTCAAAAAAAAAAAAAAAAAAAAAAGAGAAAGGGTTAATTTCATGGGTGCAAATGGCATGTCATTGTTTTGACTTCTTTGTTGGTGACACTGAATATTTATGTAGGTTGTTAATCAGTTGGATTTTCTCTTTTATGAATTGTTTATGTCCTTGGCCCATTTATCTATAAGGTGAGTGAGTAATATTTAAGTTGTTGTTAATGAATTATTAATTTATCATACTAGGCATAGTCCCCTGTCAGTCAATTTTTCTGAAAAATCGTTTCCCCTGTTATTCATTATAGCATTTTTAAGCAGAAATTTCAGATTTTTATGAAGTCAAACCTAAGCCTGTTGATCTTCCACTGATTCAACACTTTCAGTTCTTCCTCATCCAAAGAACTGATTAAAATTTGCTTAAATTTCTCATAGATATTTGTAGTTTTTATATGTGATTTCTAAACCCGTATGGATTTTATGTAAGAAATTCCATGAATTCTGAAGTATATAAAACTGTTATCCTTGCCTCCCCCACTGTGCAGATTCAGAGTGTTCATCTTTTTGACTTACTATTTCTTCCTAACAGAGATAGCCAGTTGAATAAATGGATGACTTTAGTACCTTAATTTTATTTTTCTCAATATGAAGCCAGTAAATGCTGCTCTGAGGGTAGCATACTAATCAGTTTTAAAATTTTGTATCATTTTTGTTGTTGCACAGAGATATATACGTGTGTGTATGTTTCAGAAAGATATTTACTGAAAGTTGGATTCATATAGCGGTATTAACTGTATTTTAAATAATAACTATTTGGTTTTCATTTTAAAGGTTACACGTATGTATACATTATATATACACACACTTATAGGTACACATATATCTTCATTTAAAAAATAGGAGAACAGATGAGCCAAAAGTCTCCATATTGTTACCAGTTATTTAAAATTTGATATGTTTATCTTTTTCTGTCATGCATATACACAATCATACTATATACTTTTTGCATGTATTTGTTTACATAGTGCTTAGGTAGACTGTAATATGCAGATCACTCTCTAAAGATGTATCTATTCCGAATTAAATAAGAACTAATATGAATTAGATTTAAACAAGAACCACATTAACTGTGAATTAATGATTTAGAACAAATTACTTAAAGTTAGTTCACCAGCTAATTTCCTTATCTGATAGCTTTAGACAGTGTGTATTTACAATAGAGACTCATCTGAGTAGCCAAACACACTTTGTGGACTATTTGAAAAATCGCAGTGGATTAGAACTTGAAATTTGCATACCCTCGTATTCCCTGAATCTCCCCTAGAAGATGCGAGTGAGAGACAAATTAATGAAAGTAATAACCCTTGTAGGTTCCCCCTAGGAAATAGCTTATGTTGGTGCCATGTAAATATGTAAGCTATGTGTTTGTCTTTTTTAGGAAGTCGTGCGGTTTCTAGATAAGAAACATCCAAATCACTATCGAGTCTATAATCTATGCAGTATGTACATTACTCTATATTTGCTACTGTAGATAGAAAACAGATTACTGTATGTAAGAAGATGATTTTGTGTTTTTATTGCATTTAATCATAAGTATTTGGTGGTGGCAAGGAATGAATTTAAAAAGCCCCATCGTGGACTGGCCCCATTTAGTAGAAGGAGTTTCACCCAGCAGCACAAAGCACCCTGTGAAGGAGGCGGCTTTGGCAGGACCTGTGAGGCTGGAGTGGAAGCAAACCATTTTAGGGAAGATCTGTTCTAGCGACATTAGGTTTAGGAAAATCTTTCGTTTTTCCTGCCAGATTGTGTTATGAGGACATAGACGATTTAACAAATGAGTCCTCGGCCCCATCCGCAGTGGGCTGTGATGAGAGCAGGACCCTAGATGGGAGAAAAGGAAACACTCTGGAAAATAGGCTGTAACCCAGCTTCATACTCTGTCTCTCTCGACTTTTCCCTCTACCTGTATACTCAATAGACATTTTCAGGGGGCCATCATTTTGGTCAGCTACATTTGCCTCTTGTGTGGTTTCTAACTGCCCTGCAATAATATGATGAATGGTCTGCTAGAAAGTTAAAAATTATACCTATGAAACAAAAATAGTTGAGTTTGGGTTACATGAGATGGATAAACCACTACCATCCTTACGTTTTTGAGACCCCGTGTTTATTTTAGAGCGGCAGGAGCAACTTGGAAAGCTCTTTTTGAAGATAGATAAGGAATTCTAACAAGATATGTTAACTTATTTATAAGTTCATCATTTATTATGTTATTCCCTATAGAGATATGACATACGTATTATTTATTTTAGGTGAAAGAGCTTATGATCCTAAGTACTTCCATAATAGGGTCAGTAGAATCATGATTGATGATCATAATGTCCCCACTCTACAGTAAGTTTTATGCTAAGTTGACTATCAGAAGAGGGCTAAATATATTGGGTTTGATTTTTTGAAAATATTTTAACTAAAAGTCTTAAACTTTTGAAATCAGTGAGATGGTGGTTTTCACCAAGGAAGTAAATGAGTGGATGGCTCAAGATCCTGCAAACATCGTAGCAATTCACTGTAAAGGAGGCAAAGGTAATAACATTTTCCTTTTTATTTCTCCCTTTCTAAAGACATGGAAATATAGATAAAGTACAAGAACAAAATACATATTGCTATTAATACGTATTAACAATTGTTAGCATTTTAAAATATTAGCTCCAAGACTGAAAGAAGGGGAGGAGAAAGGAAAGAGGAGAGGAGGAAGGGTAGGCGATAGGGAGAGGAGAAGGAAGAGAAGAAAGCAGGAAAAAAGAACTAAGGAAGGTTGAGCATATTTTCCCTTGTTTTCCTAGTATTTGGATTTCTTTATTTTTGGTTTGCCAGTTTGTATCTCTCAAAATACAAACAGTCTTTAATTTTAGAATGTCAGAGTACTTTTATTTTATTTAAGGCTGATCTTTTTAAATTTTTAAATTAACATAAAAATCTATTTATGGTGTACAATATGATGTTTTGATGTCTATAAACATTGTGAAATGGTTAAATCAAGCTAATTGACGTATGCATTACTCCACATGTTTTTGTGGAGTAATTTAAAATCTACTCTCTCAGCAGTTTTCAAGTATATATTAACTATGGTCACTATGTTGTACAGTGAATTTCCTGAACTTATTCTTCCTAATTGAAATTTTGCATCCTTTAATCAACATCTCAGGCTGGGCGCAGTGGCTCACACCTGTAATCCCAGCACTTTGGGAGGCTGAGGCAGGTGGATCACATGGTGAAGCCCTAGCTCTACTAAAAATACAAAACATTAGCTGGGTGTGGTGGCATGCATCTATAATCCCAGCTACTCGGGAGGCTGAGGCAGAAGAATCACTTGAACCCGGAAGGCAGAGGTTGCAGTGAGCCGAGATCGCACCATTGCACTCTAGCCTGGACAACAAGAACAAAACTCTATCTTAAAAATATAATAATAAAGTAAAAACCAATATCTCTACAATTCCCCGAGTTTTGTCCCCCCCAGCCCCTGGTAACCACCATTCTACTCTCTGCTTCTATGAATCTGACTTTTTTAGATTCCACAAATAAGTGGGACGTGCAGTATTTGTCTTTCTATGCCTGGCTTATTTCACTTAGCATAGTGTTCTCCAGGTTCATTCATATTGTCTCAAGTGACAGGATATCCTCTCAGGCTGAAGAGTATGCCTTTATTTGCACATGCCACATGTTCTTTATCCATTCCTCCACTGATGACATTTACATGGACTCCATAGCTTGGGTATTAGGAATAATGCTGCAGTGAACGCAGGAGTGCAGATTTCATTTCCTTTGGATATATACCCAGAAGTGGAATCTCCAAATCATATGGTAGTTCTATTCTTGGTTTTCTGAGGGATCTCAGTGCTGTTTTCCATAATAACTACTAATTTACATTCACACCAACAGTGTACGAGGGGGATCCCTTTTCTCTACATCCTCACCAACTCTTTTGTCTTTTTGTTAATGACCGTTCTAACAGGCGTGAGGATATCACTTTGTGTTTAATTTGCTTTTCCCCGATGATTAACGATGTTTAGCATTTCCTCATATACCTCTTGGCCACTTGTGTGTCTTCTTTTGGGAAATATCTTTTCAGGTTCTTTGCCCATTTTCTAGAGAAGTAACTTGTTCTCTTGCTATTGTGTTGTCTGAGTTCATTTTTTAAAAAAATCTGTTAACCTGTTATCGAATGTATGCTTTGTAGATATTTTCTCCCGTTCTGTAGGTTGTCTCTTTACTCCATCAATGTTTCCTTTGCTGTGCAAAAGCATTTTAGTTTGATACAGTATCATTTGTCTACTTTTTCTTTTGTTGCCTATGCTTTTCAGTCATATCCAAAAATATCTTGTCCCAGACCAATGTCAAGAAGATTTTCACCTCTGTTTTCTTCTAGTAGTTTTTCAATTTCAGGTTTCACAGTTAAGCATTTACTTTGAGTTGATTTTTGTATATGGGTGAGATAGGGTGTAATTTCATTCTTCCACCAGTGGATATTCAGTTTGCCCAGTATCGTTTATTGAAGAGACTGTCCTTTCCCCATCTTGGACTCTTGGCACCTTTGTTGAACATCAGCTGACTATAAATGCATGGATTTATTCTGGGCTTTCTGTTCTGTTCCATTGGTCTATATGTCTGTTTTTGTTCCAGTAATATTAAGGTTGTTCTTAAACTTTGTGAGAACTGTTAGATTAAGGGAGCCAACAGAGATGCTATTTCAAAAATTATACTGGAATTTTTATAGTCTAATGATACAAAGAAGTTGACATTGGTGGGGTTAAAATGGGGGGAAAAGCCCCATTTTGTAAGTCCAACCAATTTAAGTTTAGCTAGATTTTCTCTCATTCAGGTTTAGGCTTTAAATAATCATCTAAGCATATTTCACAATTTTTGACAAGCATAAATAATTACATTTTTAGTGGGCTGTAAATCAATTTTTATATCAAATTCCAGGAAAACATAACACTGTAAACTGACTTACATAATTCAGTAAAATCAAGTTTTAGTCTTATTGGCTAGTTTCAAGCGCATTAGTTAATATACAGGTTCTGTGTTTAGCTCTACAGATTGGAATATTGTATATAAACTGGCAGTTTACAATACCATAGTTAAATTAAGAATATAGAGGCTGAATCATTTGAAATGGGCAGTTTTTAACCATTTTTTGCTTTAAAAGTGGCCATTTCACATTGCCTAACCTAAAATGTTATTATTCAAGAAGTTAGCATCAGTTTTCTATTAACTAATGCTAATTCCTTGCTTGAAGGAAAGCATTCATTTCAAATTTGACTTTTTTCTTTTTTGCTGAGAGGGGGTTTACATTATTCTGTGTTCACAGAATATTTTGTTGATATTGTTAAAGGTTGTTTAGAGGGCTATTATTCAGCTGGTATGTACCAGAGCAGCCTCTTTTTTTAAGTGCTCATTCATATTAGTCTTGCTGTCTTCTGTGGTTGCTGCCTGCAGGTTACCAATAGTATCATGATAGTAAACATATTTTATATTGATTTATAGGAGTTCTTCAAAGAACCTGAATGCCAATTTTTCTTAGTGTTACAATTATATTCTCCCAACATGTTGCCTTTTAAATTTGATTGTGATTTATTTTGTTGTACAAAAGTTTGTAAATTTTTGTTTTGTTTTGAGACATGGTCTCACTCTGCCACCCAGGCTGGAGTGCAGTGGCACGATCTCGGCTCATTGCAGCCTGAACCTCCTGGGGCTCAAGCGATCCTCCCATCTCAGCCCCTCTGAGTAGGTGGGACTACGGGCGAGCATCACCATGCCTGGCTAATTTTTGTATTTTGGTAGAGACAGGGTCTCACTATGTTGCCCAGACTGGTCTCGAACTCCTGGACTCAAGTGATCCACCCACCTCAGCTTCCCAAAGTGCTGGGATTACAGGCATGAGCCATCGTGCCTGGAGAGAAGTTTGTAATTTTGAATGTAGTAAAATTTGTTCATCTATGTGTGTGTATGTATTTCATGCTTTTCTGTCACATTTAAGAAATTCACCCCGATACTGATGTAGTAAAGATATTCCACATTTCTTCAAAAATATTCAAGTTCCATTTTTAATATTTGGGTCTTTAATCTAATTGGAAGTTGGGGGAAGTATTTTGTTCATATAGATAGCCAATTGCCCTAACACCATCAATTGCATGCTATTTTGTTCTCCATTAATTCGTAATTCCTCTCAGTAATATACCAAGTTTCTATACATATTCAAAACTGTTTCTAAGTTCTCTCTACCACACTTTTGTAATTATTGTAGCTTTATAATATAGTTTGATAAAGGCACAATAGTCTTGCTCTCCTTGGAACTTAATTATTACGTTCAATTTTAAAATGATTTTGTGAACTGCCATAATAAAACACTTTTATGATTTTTGTTGGAACTACATTGAATTTATAGATTAACTTGACAGAACTGACAACTTTGAGATATTGAGTTGTACATGTGAATTATCTTGTTCATTGTTTAATAATATTTTATACTTTTTTTATCATGTCTTTCACATCTTTTCAAAAATTCATTCCTACGCAAATTGTGAATGAAAATGGAATCTCTTTTTTTCTATTACATTTAGGTTGTGTCCAGTTTTTACTGTGATAAATAGTGCTGCTTTTTTTTTTTTTTTTTTTTTTTTTTTTTTAGATAAAATCTCACTGTATCACCCAGACTGGAGTGCAGTGGCATGATTTCAGTTCATCCTAACCTCTGCCTCCTGAGTTCAAGCAATTCTCGTGCCTGAGCCTCCCAAGTAGCTGGGATTTTTTTTTTTTTTTTTTTTTTTTTTTTGAGACGGAGTCTCGCTCTGTCGCCCAGCCCAGGCTGGAGGGCAGTGGCGCGATCTCGGCTCACTGCAAGCTCCGCCTCCCGGGTTTACGCCATTCTCCTGCCTCAGCCTCCCGAGTAGCTGGGACTACAGGCGCCCACAACCGCGCCCGGCTAATTTTTTGTATTTTTAGTAGAGACGGGGTTTCACCGTGGTCTCGATCTCCTGACCTTGTGATCCGCCCGCCTCGGCCTCCCAAAGTGCTGGGATTACAGGCGTGAGCCACCGCGCCCGGCCAAGCAGCTGGGATTACAGGCATCCACCATCACACCCAGCTGTATTTTTAGTAGAGATGGGGTTTTGCCATGTTGTCCAGGCTGGCCTCAAACTCCTAACCTCAAGTGATGCGCCTTCCTCTGCCTCCCAAAGTGCTGGGATTACAGGCATGAGCCACCGCGCCTAACCCAATAATACTGCTTTTAAAAATACACATTTCTTGTTGCACATACGGCCACATTTTTGTTGAGTATATACCTTGGACTAAAATTGTTCTGTCTTAGGGTAATGAATCTTGAACTTTACTTGATAATGTCACCTGTTTTCTAAAACAGTAGTACCGATTTTTACTCCACTGGTATTGTACACTTCAAGCATTCCATGTCTTCCCCAATACTTACAATTCTGAGTATTTCTATTTTTAGCCTTTGGGGGTTTGTGTGATGGCATCTGATGGTGGTGATCATTTGCATTTCTGTAATTACTAATAAGATTGAG